AATCCTTCAAAATACTATAAAGAATTGAGCTCATAAGTTTAACTTTTCAGATCTAAAGTGGTCCAACATGATATAAACAGCTTGTATTGTAATACCCTAAGCAATAAACCTGAGTCAAGGGAAGTGCTGCAGTGATATTGAATTAAACTTTGGCTGTTTTTATGAGTGACTTGAGACACACTGCAGAGTCTTTAGCTAGTGCTAATCAACCGGACACTCTTACTTTCATTAACCACCTCTTAAACTTTGTTTGAGCTTTGATCTCATGGGCCTGCTTGAAATAATGAGACTAAGATGTGTAAGATTGTGTTATAATTTTATTTTTACTGTTAAACACATCTTCTGCTAGCCAACCTGAGGGACTGGATCTCAAAGAGCATTTGATCAATAGCTTCAGTAATAGGTACATTGGGGGGGGGACACTGGCTTTAGCATCAAAAAAGACTTGCTGGGGGCAATGTTGATTGCTCAGATATGCATGAAGTGTAACAGTGTTTGAAATACAGAAAGGCTTGAGTGATACGAAGTGCTGTAAAACGTGCTGTTGCATGAACTTTAGCACTCTTCTTGTCATAGTGACCTTTTGCATGGTGATAAATGCAGGGGAAAGGGTTTCCTGTAATGTTTAGTGTGTGAGCGAGTGCTGTGTGTTCATTAACAGGTCCGTTAATTCATAGCGAGGGCAAAAGTCAAGGCACTTACTAAGCTAAATCCTAGATAATAAAATGAAGGTGTATGGCCTGCTTGATAGAGCTTGAATCAATCTAGTTATAAATTAATTCTTCATGGTATGTCCTTGGAGAATCAAAAAGGACTAAAATGACATGTTCCAGACTCTACTGTCTTTTCTGGGAAGGGTGGGAGGTAGAGTGTCATGTTACAAACAGATCTGAATATGTTCTAAGTTATTATTGGTCTTGCCATTAGGTCCATTGTCACTGTTAGTTAGTAAAAGGTAAAGGTAAAGGTTCCCTTGCTCGAAAGCCAGTCGAGTCCGACTGTAGGGTTGCGGTGCTCATCCCCGTTTCAAAGCCGAAGAGCCAGCGCTGTCTGAAGACGTTTCTGTGGTCATGTGGCCAGCATGACTAAACACCAAGGCGCATGGAACACTGTTACCTTCCCACCAAAGTGGTACCTATTTATCTACTTGCAATTTCTTGGTACCTATTTATCCACTTGAGCCACCGGAGCTCCATGTTGATAAATTCCAATTATATGAAGCAGTGTGTTAAGTATATTAAACACCTGCTAAAATATTCACTCAGAAATAAGCTTATAAGTACTTCATGTGGATTCCAAGTTAACTCATTCTCCATAAAACCACTTGTAAAATTCTGAATAATGGATTTGGTCTGTCCTGGAAGAGTGGGATTGGGTAACTTGTTATATGCTAATGCTGCTGAAGGTAGCATCAAATGTAGTGAGTACTTCTAGTGAAGGAAATTGTGTAACAACTGGCTTGTTAGAAGGGATCTGGGCACATGACTCTTCCAGGACTGTGGGTAAGCAGCCTTTGTAAGTTCCAATTTTCAAAGTGACTGAGCACTAAAGGTGAGATGAATTTTAGGAATCTTCTCCTAACTTAAGCTGCTCAGCACTTGTGACATATTCTCATGCATCTTCTGGATCTGGCTAGGCAGAACTTTCTGTGGAAAGTCTTCACCAGTCTTGTTGCCATGTAACCAACTGCCCTGTAGCTGGGTGCTTCAAGGTGACTGCCCCATATTTAGGGGGAAACTCTGATGGAGAGCTGCTGGCAGAGCCAACCGTGAAGCAGGGGAAGGTGTGCACATCCAGTCTGAGTAGCCACAAACACTTTGCTCCATCAGAAGTGATACCTGCAAGCTGTGGAGAAGTATATGGGCCTGCAGGACTACTTTCAACAAAAGTACACAAAAATACTATCCTTAGCAGTGTGGTTACTGAGGAGAAAATAGATAGTGCTAAGGAGGTACAGGGGTATGAAGACTATTCATTACAGAACAGTTCAGCTATATAAAACTCCTCATTAAAATGTCAAAATTTGGGCACTATACACTTCACAGAGCCATGCGTTATACTTTCCACCTTGACTCTGTAGTACAAACTATATAGAATAAACCATGAGACTTATGGCATTGGGTAAAAACTTATTTCACTAGGAACTAATAAGGAAATAATGGTGTGTCATGTTTCCTTTGGCAGTACTGATCCAGCAAGATGATTTGGATACTTCAGTTCTTGTTTTCACCACTTCCAACTCCAGCTTTGATTGGTCTTGTTACTTTTGGAGCAAGTGTCTTCCTGTGGGCGATAAGCAAACCGAAACCAGTAGCACCCCCTGTTCCCTTGAACAAGCAGTCTGTTGGCACAGAGGTAAAACCAGCTATATATTCTGTAAACTGTTACTGGCAAATGAAAAGGAGGATTGAGTTCACAAATAGATTACCATAACAGCATCTAGTCGTTAGTATTTAAGAAAGAACCTCTCTAGATCAAGTGCAGTATCTGTAATAATGTCCTGACATAGTCAATCTAAGATTATTTTATAAGAGCCTATTCGTCACCATGGCAATATCAAGGGAATGCTGTATTAATGGCTATGGGGTCATTAGATCCATTTAGGCCTCTTGTACTTCTTACCACTGCTGCTGGATTAGCACAACATTGTGCTTGTTAGCTATACATAGTGATTTTTATCACACCTTCCAACAGGACCAAACTAAAATATAATTCTGTTGGTACATTGATATGGGGTGGGAGCAGTGAGGGTTCATACAATGCTGTGACTGTTCTCACTGATGGAATGTAGAGAAGTTTAGTGTACTACTGTTAAGTTCTGTAAGGAAATCCATGTAGTTGCATCTCTTGTACGGGTGACTGATGATCTTGCTTGGAATTGGTTTGCAGGATTAATGCCTGACATGAAAAGTATATACAATATCAGACTAATATTATACTTGTAAGCTGTTTGTTAAATAAAAATCTGCAGCTTACACAGAAGACTGTTGGGGATTCTATCTAGGCTTGTGTCAAGTCTAGATAATGTATCCCAAGTTTACATCTGCTTGGTTTGATAGTTACTGAGATGATCTCAGACAACTCATTAAGCACTATAAAAAGGTTAGAAATAGCTTTGCACTTTGGAATTGGTGGTGACTGAAATTTCCCCAGTTTGGAATCTTTGCAGTTGGTGCTAATTATGAAGAGAGCTTGTATATTGTTTGCAGCTCATATATACCACACCATGACATATGCTGACCCTACTGTTCCCACCACTTTCCCTCCGACTGTGACCAATAAGTTCAGGGAAAGAAGTGCTGGGGACTGCAGTCTCCTAACTGCCGTAATTTCTAGTTACCTTTGTCCTATCATTATCTTGACTTTAGTTGGTAATTTAACTTGGAGAGGTCTTATCCCTATGTCCACCACTAACCTGAATAAAACCTTCTAACTGTAGGGAGGAGCTAGAAGGAGTGCACTTGCACCTGAAGGGAAGCTGCTTTCATATTACTATGAGGATGCAAAGACTCTGTATGAATGTTTCAAAAGAGGACGATATGCGTCGGGTAAGTGAGAAACTGGATCTGGTCTTGAGTGACCCAAAGACAAATCTTTACAAATCCAAGAGCAAAAGGCATGGTTGCATAGCTCTTCATGTTGCTTGCTATTCACTTGAAAGGGTATTTCCTTGGTCTCAGTGCTTTATTGACTACCACATTTTGTGACTCTTCCAATTCCATAGTACTGGGGAAAATTGGGTCACTAATAGCATCCTTGTAATGTGTAGTTTGAGCCTTAGTCTGATCAACATAATCTGCCTAAAATAGTTGCCAGCTGATTGCATTTAAACTATGATTATGCTACAGGAAATGCCTTGATTAAACAATAACATTAGTATTTTATCTAGTACTTTATTTTAGAGATTCTTGCATGGCAAGGAAATCTCCGCTCCTTTTGAGATGAAATCTTTTTGCCTTTGCTGTAAAATGAAGAAGATTCATTTTCATTTGTATGAGATTAGAGCACGATTCCTAGCTAGTTGCCATAGCTATAATTCAGATACACAGCCAAAAAAAACCCCAAAACCCCAGAGTTTCTCTTCAAAGCTGGTGTTAACTTTCAAAATTTTGGCATGCGCAAAGTCTGCATAGTTGTCAGTATCTATTCTTGAACTAATTCCTTAATCTCTGAAGGAACTCCTCTAAACTTTTTAAAACTCCCCAGCCTACTGATAGCAAGTGAAATCCTTGCACATAACTGCATGTATGCCAGTCACTGTATGTGGATATGTAGACTAGGGTGCTAAAGTCACTGAAGGCCTAGAATCACAGATGGGCAGGCTTCCCCCTAGCTCATCTCATTTTGAAACCAGGGTTTCCAAGCTGTTGAGGATCTTGCTTTGAGCCAAAGGAATATAAAGATCATCTGTATCTTGACCTAAAATAGGCCTAGCAAACGCCCTTCTAAAACCAGCTTGCTATGGTAAAAATCTGGATGTCACTGGAGTCCATATAGTTGGCACAGGTTTTGCTGGCTACATCATCCCACTTTTGCTGTTTCAATCTTCAGATACTGATAGGCTTGCCAAGTCCCCCGGGGGGCGGGGAAACCCCGCCCCAGAGGCCCGTTCCCCGCTGGCGGATGATACTGAAATGTTGGGAAACTATCTAAGAGCTTGTTCAACAACAGGCATTTGGAAGATAAATAAGCTGTGATCAGAAGGCAGTAATTGCCAGTGCATCATTAATCATGCATTCCATTGCAACTACGTTTTCTGTGTAAACCTAGAAATTCATACTATAAGCTATATTAATAGCACTTAAGCAGTCTAACTGCAACTGCTGCTCTTAACACTCTAATTCTATCTCTTGAACTACACCAAATCTTTATCTCTGTGAATGTAATATAGACAACAGCTTGTGTACCTGTGGCTTGGCTATAAAACAAGATAGTCCTGAAGAGGAATGTGTTTTTGAATGAAGTTATCTAAACCTTAGAATGTAGAAAAGTCCCAAAGAACTCCAGCCATTTAAATTTAGAGATGCTGTGTACTACCAAGATAGTGGGTTGCTTTGACCTTTTGGGTACATGTTTAGTTTTTAATTCCTGAAGACAGATCTACTCTTCTGGAATGTTTATAATCTGAAATTTCTTTTGTAGAAAATGGTCCTTGCTTAGGATACAGAAAGCCAAAACAACCATATCAATGGCTATCTTACCAACAGGTTAGTCACAGAATTTTCAAAGCTGTTCCCAATTCATATCTTTGAGGGACTGTTGATTATCTGTCTTTGGACTTTTTTCTAGGTTTTGGATAGAGCTGAATACCTGGGTTCAGGCCTCCTGCACAGAGGGCATAAGCCATCACCTGACCAATTTATTGGCATCTTTGCTCAGAATAGACCAGAGGTAATTTTCAAGAAATTCTCATTTGGGCAAGTAGGAATTAATAAACTGGGACAATATCTAGCAACTATTGTGCAGAAGAATGAATACTCTGGCTGCTTATTGATGAAAAAAATTGCATCCTTTGGCTATTATCCCAGTCACTTCATTGTCTGTTGAAGGTTCTGTAGTGCATCAATGCTGCTCAGACTGCCTGCAGAATTAAAAAGTTCTTGATGTATCACATACTAATGAGATTTTGTCAGCCCTTCTAAGCTTGCATAGCTGATACAGTTGTGAGGTTTTGCAGTAGCATCCAGCTTGTCTTTACTTGCTCACATGAAGCTGCCTTGTACTGAATCAGACCATGGGTGTATCAGAGTCAGTACTGTCTGGCAGTGGTTCTCCAGGATCTCAGGCAGAGGTCTTTCACATCACCTACTGCCTGGCCCTTTTAACTGGAGATGTCGGGGATTGAATTTGGGACTTTCTGCATGCCAAACAAATGCTCTACTGCTTCCTCTCCCAATGGAAGTTCTTAAGGTGTTGCTGCGACCCTGTAAGCAACAAAGAGCTTGTGAGGTTTTGAAACGTGAAACTTTAGCACATATCTGACCTTGACCATTGTACAGAATTCTGTCACTTTCCCCATTGTTGCTTTTCCCTATTTTTGCCTTACATAGTGGATAATCTCTGAGCTTGCCTGCTACACTTATTCGATGGTTGTTGTTCCCCTCTATGATACACTGGGACCGGAGTCAATTGTGTACATTGTTAATAAAGGTAAGCTTTTTCTTCTGTCAAATTATTTATCACATATAAGGACAATCCTTTCATGTGACATGATGACTCTAGTGTCTTAATGTTCAAGTAGCTTGCCTACACCCCACACTGCCACAGGTACCTAATTTCAATGGGCTGGTTTCTCAAGAAAGCAGACTGCATGCAGTGTCATTTGTGGAGGGAAAGTAGCAGTGGCTTTGGTCTGTACAGGAGCTAATAGGTGCTTGTCTATTCAGCCTTCTCCCAGCCTATACAGTCATGTGAAAACCAGCTAATTGGTTGGCAGGAAAGAGAAGGGGCAACCTTCTACCTTTATCAAGCAAGTTTCCTGGAAGAATAAAGCACTATGCTTGCTCTGTAGCTAGCAATATTGGCTTACTTGGTCTGTTGGAGAGAGAGAGAGTGTGTCAAGGAAGTAGAATGGTGTTCAAGAAGCTTTGCCAGCTGTAGAGACCAGGGGAAAGAATTCATCTAGTTTGGAAAGATGCTTGTTTGCCCTGAAATCTGAAAGTACTCTTCTGTTAGTTTATAAAAATGCAAACAGAGATTGCAGCTCCAGCAGGGGTGACCCAAAAAGAGGGTGAAGTGGGGCAGCCCAGCCTTGAAGTAGCCCCCTGGATATCCCTCCTCCAACCATTCCCGGGTTCCCTGATAGGCCTGGCAGTGGGCTGGGTGAGCCCCAGCCTCCCGCATTTGATGCTGCCCACCGACTCTGCTCTGCCCTCCCCCTCTCCACCCTCCCTGCAGCGCCACAAACAGGACACATGGTGAGTCTTCCAACTTTTATAAACCTTTATCCTACCTTTTTTCTGTGGAACTGTCACCTTCTCTGTTTCCCATCACAACCCTGTGAGATGGGTTAGGCTCAGAGTGACTGTCTGAAAGTCACAAAGCAAGCTGCAGTGTTGAGCAGGGATTTGAGCTTGAATCTCCTTAGGTCCTAGTTGGTTGAACAATAACTACTGTGCCATGCTGATTAAACCACTGCACCAAATCAACAGCTGCTTGGTAGCAAACTGTACTGTACATGAAGTGCCTATCTATCAGTCAATCAATTTATTTCTATAGTCCTTAGACCAGTCATACAAAAAGAAGTACACCTTTACAATATTCCAAGATTTTAAGATACATCAGTGACCCATTAAAAGCAAATTAAAATGTAATCGAAGTGCCTATCTTAAACACAAATGGGCAAAATGAAACTAACTTGATTATTTCACATTTTGAGGAGCGGCTTTGGCAGTCTGTGAAGGAGGACATTTATTTTAAAAACTCACTGGTAGCATTGGTATTACAAACTGTTTCACTGACACACCAGTTGGTACAGAACTAATGGTGAGCTAGTTATGTGAACAGATCTATGTTTGTGAAAATCCAGTCATGGTTTGAATGATGTAGCATAAAATAATTGGCCATTATGTAAAGGACACGTAGTAAACTCTGGTTTCTTGTTTATGCTAGACTTCAGCCAATGAAGAATTATTTGAAATCTAACAGAAGGGCCTAAATTTTTAACTTGCAAGTAAACAATCCAATGGATTAAAGTACTTCTCTGTTGCCTTTAGTTGCTCAGTTTTAATTCTCAAGGTTGAATTTAAAAACAATAATACCGTTCTTGTAAATAGCTAGTATTTCATGCTAAATAGGCAGTGGGCAAAACCGTGCATTCAAAGTGGTAGAACTACTTGCCTTTTTCTGTTGCTTTGGTTGATCTTAATTATCACAGGAAAACTAGGAAGCTTAGAAATTTAACACATTCTGCAAGGAGCTCTGTCACTTGGGATAGCATAGCTGTAATAGATTTCCTGTACTAGTCTGAACAAGCTGAACTTGTCATTAAATTGTGTCCTGCCAGCATGGTAGAACTTACAATTAGAGCAGAAAGGAGGTAAATTATACATCAAATGTACATAACAGTACCTTGATTGCTCTTTAATTAGAAACTAGTTTGGGAATGGATGATTGGGATCACAGGAGAAAGTACTTATCTGAAGTACTTAAACTTATCTGAAGAAGTGTGCATGGACATGAAAGCTTATACCTGGAATTAAATTTTGTTGGTCTTAAATGTGCCACTGAACTCAAACTTTGTTTAACTCTTCTCTGTAACTGCTCCAGATCTACCTATGACCAGTCTTTGCCCTATGAGCAAATAGGAACATAATAGATACCCTGCTGACTCAGACTAAACAGAAAGGGGCTACTTAATTGCTCTGGAGGACCAACAAATAGGGCATAGAGGCAAAGGAATCCTTCTGATATTGCTTTCTAGAATACATAGTCAAAGATTTCCAGCCTCTGGAAACAGAGGTTACCATAGGTCCAACAATGGCTGCTAGCCTTGAAGACTAATTGTCCATGAATCTATCTAATCCACTCTTAAAATATAATCCATCAATTCAATTCTTTATTCAAGGGTAGCATCATATAGCTATTGAGTCCAAGTGGTATATGTCTAGTTGTCCTCAGCATGCTTAATGTGTAACATTCAGTGTGTGTTCTGTCATTTAAACGTCTTAAATTATAGCATCTTAATGTTGCAACAGAACTCTTCCTCAAAGGAATCACTGATAGGCAAGTAAACACTCTGTTCTACTGTTCTTTCCAACCCTAGTCTAGGACTATAGCCCTATCTTACTTTGTAGTAAAACCCATTTTACACAGTAGGACTTCCAAGTAAACTTGCTTAAGATTGCATCTAGTGTCCTAGGCCTGCCTACCTAAATACTAGTCAAAACTCTTGCACCTATTTAGATGACTAAAGGCTTGGGCAAAGTACTATGGTCTCTGAAGAGAGACTAGATCTCTCTGAAAAGGTGAGACTAGATCTCTCTGAAAAGGCAAGAACCTGAACAGTTAACAAATTTTTGGTTGAGTTTCATCCCTTCATCTATTGTAGTGTATTTTTATGGAAGTGGCCAAACATCAATAAACTGAAACTACAGTTGTGAGTGTAATGATTCCTAGAAATAACTGAATGAACTTTTAAAGTATATACTTGTTTGTTTCTATAGCTGATATCTCTACAGTCATCTGTGACAAGGCTGACAAGGCCCAGGTGCTGCTTGAAAACTGTGAACAAGGGAAGACCCCAGGACTGAAGACCATTGTTCTGATGGATCCTTTTGATAACAAACTAAAGGAAAGGGGAGCTGCAATAAGAGTTGAACTACTTTCATTAAAAGAACTTGAGGTATAGGATCCCACTTTCAGAACTGTCTAGCATTTGAGAAAGGTTGTGGCCAGCCACTCTGAGCCTGTTTAGGTGGGGAGGGCGGGGTACACATTTGAAGAAATAAATAAATAAATAAAATTAGTGGTCAAATGTACTCAATATAGTCCCTTCTCTGAATCCAGCTGTTTAAGTGCAGGGCTGTACAACTTAATTAGTAGACATCTGAGAAGGTCAAAATTAGACCACCTCTCAGTTTCATTTTAGAACTGTTGTTGCTCTCACAAGCTGAGATGCTGAAACTCTTTGGATATCAGAACACATAATATTCAGTCTAAAGGTTTCTATTTCTGATTGGCTGGCTGTCTTGCCTAAAGTTCTCACCGTCTGGAGAAGATTTAGTTGCATAAGATTTATCTAGGTAAAGGACAATTAAAGGCTGTGCATTAGAATCCTGAGGCTTCTAGTTTCCAACAGAAGTAGCCCATGGCTAGATGGTCAAACATCAACTGGTGTCTCTGTCAGCCTCCTGACTAATTTACCCATGGCAGTCTGTCCTTTTAAGCCTCTCTATCTGTTTTTAAAACTTGCAAGTGTGCATAAGCTAGCCTGGTCAAGGCTTATAGGATTTCCAGGATGGAACCCTTCATGTGAAGCACTCAGAGTTTCATCTTGAATGAACTTAATATTCACTGACATGAACTCTTCATAGGCATTCTCTCAACCCTATCTCTGAAGTGACAGACCAAAAGGTAGGACTTCTCTTCAAGCAGGGGCATGAAAATGGCATCCTATTTGCCGGAATGAAACTTTGACCAGAAACAAATGGGTATCTGCATAACTTTTGTTCAAAATGTCCTTCCTCATGGCTGTTCAAAACAGATTTCAAAATGTCTCTTTCTTGAGAAACCTCATGGCCTTAAGACCGTCTCAGATTGTCTAATTGCCCCATCCAAGTAGCATTGCTAAATACTCTTTTTTTTCCCCTCTCACAGGCATTGGGCAAAGACAACTTAAGAAGACCAGTTGTAAGTCTTTTTCTATGGTAGTTAAACTATGCATGTTCACCACAAAAATAAAACCCCAACATTTGGATATCACTTCTTGTTTCAGCCTCCCAAACCAGAGGACCTGAGTATTGTCTGTTTCACCAGTGGAACCACTGGTAAGTAGCAGGGATTCATCAGAACAAATGCAAACATTGTCAAAGAATTACAATATAAATGTACTTTATGTACTTTATGGAGAAGTTACAATGACTAAACTGAGGCTATTACACTCTGGTCACATTATGAGATGACAAGAATCAGTAGAAAAGATGACAACATTAGGAAAAGTTGAAGAGCACAGGAAAAAAAGAGGAAGACCGAACCTGAGCCACACCTCTCAGTCTGAAAGACCCAAGCAAGGCTGTTAATGATGGGACATTTTGGAGGTCATTAACTCATAGGGTTGTCATAAATCAGAAGCAATGACATACACACAGAGAAAGTACAAATTAACTGGAATGCGGGATTATCATTTGGTCTAAATGATTTTGTTAGCCATTCAGTTGTGTTCGACTCTTGGTGATTTGAATGATATCTTTCTAAACGATATCTTTCCATATTTACCAGATGATGGGGGGGGGCTGTTATAAGAAGAGGAATGTTTAGTGTAACTTCAGATAGTCTTGGCAGAACCTTCCCAATGTGCCTCAGTTCTCTTGGGAGATAAACAATGAGTATATCCTACAAAAGCAAGAGGGTGTAGGGTGGTTTTCTTTATGCTCAAAAGCTTGAGCAACCATTCAGCTTACAAGGGAGAAGTAACCAATGTGTCTGCCCCTTCTGAAGGTTGCCCAATAATATGAATCTGGGATACAGAAATTCAGAGCCCCCTGCCCCCTGCCCTGTTCAGCAAGCCTCTACAGTTCTTTATTGCCCGGTTGACAGAAGATTAATACTGCAACAAGCTGGCATGTAAACTGGCCTGGCTAGTCATGTTTTCATGTCTGTAATCAAAGGTGTGAGATTCCTAGCTCTGAAGAGCCAAATACTCATTCTCAAATATCTGTATAGGAAATCCTAAAGGAGCCATGCTAACACATGAGAATGTTGTTGCTGATTCAGCAGCCTACCTAAAGAGCCTAGAGGTAAGCATCCATGTGCTAGTTTTTTTAGGTTGCAGCAGCCTCCATGAACATTATACTGTCATATAGAACTATAGGCCAAAGTACTGACTATACGCTTCTCATTTACAGATGACAACTCCTTGTCAAACATCTGATTGCTCTGTGTCGTACCTTCCTTTGGCTCACATGTTTGAAAGAGTAGTGCAGGTAAATGCATTCCTGGTTTCTATACACCCAGGCAGTTTACAATGTCTTGGAACCTGTCTGTAGAACTAATTTTTCTCACCTTCTCTGGCCGCAGCCCACAATGTCTCTTGAATTGCTACTCTGGAAGTACAGGGGAATTCCTTGAACAGCATGAGGGGAGTTAGGTCTATTACAGGAGGGAGGAGTTGGTGAAAATCTCCCCTTGCATGCTGTGTTTAGCCCTACACTTTTTTTTTAATTGGGTAAGTGGTTATAGAAGGGGCATAGTTAGCTATAATTGTACCCATATGCTGATTTATGTGCAATTCCACTGACAAAAATGTGTCTCTTCCTGTTTAATTGATTACAATGTTTCAAGTATTTTGTGTGATCTTGTGAATGAACAGCTTACCTTTAGATCCCTGTTCACATGTTACAATGAATGTGCATACACCTTGCATGTACATACATACAGGGGTTGTTTCGTAGAAAAGAGCTAGGGGAACTCATTAGCATAACTCATTAGCATATGCCACACACCCTGACATCACCGGAAGTGTGTCATAAGGCCACACCCCCCGCCCCCAACGGTCCCGGCCGCCGCCGGCCTTGCAGCTCCACTGCCGAGCCCCATGAGGGGCCCGGCAGTGGACCAACCTGCAAGGCCGGCGGGAGTGCGAGGAAACTTCGCCAAGGCCCTCCCTGGCCCCAGGCAGGCAGGGGTGGGGAGAGGCAGGGAGGAAGCAACTTACCCTCCCTCTTCTCCTGCCTCCTCCTAGCTGAATGAGGGCCGGAAGCGGGGCGGCTGGAAACAGGGGGCGGGGCTTTGTCGTGTGCCCCGCCTCCCCGCACCTCACCCAGGGGAATGGCGATCCCCCCCGAATCGACCTCTGCATACATACACCTCTTGTAAGAAAGAACCACTGTATGTTCTTTTTGCAAATGAAACTGGGGACCAATACCTAGATAAATGTGGGGTTTCAGTTGCATGCTTAGCTGAATGTGCATTGAATGTAACATGACAAGTACTCAAAATCAAGTGTATACTGTACACAGATTGTACATGTGTTCATGGTAACATGTGAATTTCACATCTAGAATCAGCAAACTTAGCTTCTGATAAGTACATAACTTTCAGTGATCACTTTGCCTTGTTTCTCTACTCTTTACATGTCCACTATTCCTAATATCTACTATTTAACTAACTCATGACAAAATTGTGACCTCTCTACATCGTTTGAATGGACATGAGGGTGGGGGATTCATTGCAGAGTGGTCTTAGTCTTGGTAGAGTCTTACAATATGCAAAAGCTTTTATCTGCTCGCATTTTAGACCGTAATATACAGCAGTGGAGCAAGAGTGGGGTTTTTCCAAGGAGATATTAGACTTCTGACAGATGACATGAAAACACTGAAGCCAACACTCTTTCCAGTAGTGCCAAGACTGCTCAACAGGATCTATGACAAGGTAACAATTTATTGGTCACCCGAAAAAGTGTGCTCCAGTTTAGAAATGTGCTTTAACCAGATTTGCTACAGCTAGTTAGAAACATGTTTTGGATTGTATACAAAAATAGCCAACAAAAAGCTTTGGGTACTAAAACTTGAACGCAGGAACCACAAGGGCTTTAGAAGGTGGATACCTCTGGGCTCTGTTAAAAGTATACAAGTCATTATTCCATGACTGCAAACACAATAGCTGAAGGTGGGAGACAGTAACACAAATGGTGCTCCATTAACAACTTTCATGTCCAAGGCAAATGGCTAATGCACAATGTTTCTGATAATAGTCTAATCTCTTGCAGATACAAAGTGGTGCTCAAACAACATTCAAACGTCTTCTGCTAAATATCGCTGTGGCTAGGAAACACGCTGAAGTGAAGCAGGGCATTCTTCGAAACACAAGTCTCTGGGACAAGCTAGTGTTCAAGAAAATCCAAGTATGTGTTGCTCTCAAGCATATCAACACAAGTTTGTTTTATAAAATTGGTGTGTCTCCTGCAACCAGTGCTGTTGCTTGTAATGACAATATTCTTCTATTTCTCCTGACAGAACATCATGGGTGGGAAATTGCGAATAGTAGTAACTGGAGCTGCCCCAATATCTCCATCTGTCATGAAATTTCTCAGGTCAGCTTTTGGATGTCAGGTAAGATCTGGGATGGGAGATGATGGGATTCTTAGAACTTCCTCATTCTGTTAGTGTCACTTCTATAGAATTTGGGAATCCCTGGGGAAAAGGCAATGCATGATGAATTAAATGAATGAGAAATGTCCTGAGGAACTGACAGTGCGATAACTTATTGATGAAACTTGAAGGCACTTCTGTAATTTTGCTTGGAGCTGACTTGCATCAAAGAAGACAGCCAAAGGACCGTCTTCCCAATACATTCACGCCATGGAACTAAGATCACGTGACGCCCTCCTGACTCTCTCAGCAATCAAAGAAGCTCATCTTGTGAGCATGCAAGAGAAAGCTTTTTGGTGGTAGCCCCATGATTTTGAAACAGTCTCCCCTGGAAGATGAGCCTGGCCCCTTTGCTTTTGATCTTCAGGAAGCAGTTGGAGACAGTTTCATCTAGGACTACATTTGACTCATTTAGGGTTGGTTTTTTGGGCAGTTCTAGTTGAGATTTTAAATTGTGATCTTTGATGTGTTTTCATAATTGTTATTTTATTTACATTCTGCCTTGCAGAATTCAAGACAGCTTACAAAGGCAGCTAATAAATTTATTTAAGTCTATTTACTTAAAACATTGCTTTGCTAAACAAGTAGGTCAATCAATTCTCAAAGCATGAGACCATTTCTCTCATACCATCTTCTACTGGTAACTTGTGTTATATTCTACTGCTAAGCAACTACACTGTGGAGGCCAACTGACATAACACATTGGTCTGTTGATCATGACTTGCAATGGCAGATTAAGCGGCTTGATAAAATGCTTACTTGGCATCCAGGTTGGATCTCAAAGGCTGTATCTAACACTAATTTTCTGAAACAGATTTTTGAAGCATATGGTCAAACGGAATGCACTGCTGGCTGTACTTTCTCATTACCAGGAGACTGGACAACAGGTAGGGGTGTTTTTCACAACATATTGTAGATTATTTGGTCACTGTAGAATATAGATATGTGTGGAAGGGGAAGTATGTGAGTATGATGGCACCTGAGCTCTGGGAAGATAACCCTCAGATAAGGATAGTGTATCAAATCAGTCATTCCTAAAAGAAATCAACCCTGACTGTTCCCTGGAAGGCCAGATAATGAAACTGAAGCTCAAATACTTTGGCCACCAAATGAGAAGGGAGCACTCACTGGAGAAGACCGTGATGCTGGGAAAGATTGAAGGTCAAAGAAGACAGGGACGGCAAAGGATGGTTGGACAGTATCATCGACGCAACGAACATGAAATTGAGCCAACTTCAGAGGACAGCGGAAGACAGGAGGGCCTGGCGGGAGCTGGTCCATGGGGTCGTGAAGAGTCGGACTTGACTGTGCAACTGAACAACAACAAATGTGTACTAATTTATTCATTTGTTTCTGGGAATACAGATACAGGAAAGATACTTCAAGATATTGTTATGCTTACGTTGATGATCTGCTTATATTTTGTGAGTCAATGGGGATAAGCTTCTGTTCCTTTACTCTGAACAAAACTCATGTTAGGTATCCAAATATGATTAAAACATCTAAGGAGAAGAAAGCACTTTGATGTTTCATGTACGTGTAACTTGAGCCGCTGTGAAAAACTGAGAACAAAATAGGTGCAGTGAAGGAAAGCAAGGCTGAACAGCAAATTGACAAGGATTATTACTGAATTTTGCTATATTCTACTACCCTGGAGTCCTGCCATCTTAAACGAATGACAAGATAAAGAAAATACTGCAGAGCAAATCTTTAAATGTTTTTGATGGTGTCTTCCAGACCATGTTGGGCCACCACTAGCCTGCAACCTCATAAAACTTGAAGATGTGGCTGAAATGAACTACTTTGCAGCTAACCATGAAGGGGAGGTGAGCAACCTTTCTGGTGTTAAAAAAAAATGGACACTCTTATGCATAAATGGAGATGAGACTAAAATTAACTTGTATCTTCTGTAGGTTTGCATCAAGGGGCCAAATGTAATGAAGGGTTACCTAAAGGATCCAGAGAAAACAGCAGAAACCATTGATAAGGATGGTTGGCTTCATACTGGAGATATTGGGAAATGGTTACCGGTAAGAAAGCCCATATTGAAATAAATGTCATTAGTCTTTAAGATGCTATTAGACTTCTGTTTCATTTTGCTGTAACAGACCAGTAGAGCTACCCCTGTGCAGTCACTGAACTGTCATTCTAAGCTATTCCTTACTTGACTATCAAGTGGCTCATAGGAAGGATGTTGAGTTTTTAAATATACTCTAGTATAGGCTCTAAAGAATACAGAGTTGTAGGAAGAATGCCTTCTCCTGCAGTCTTATGAAGAAATTATAAACTGGACACACCAAAGATGGAAACCAATATAAAGCAGTGGGCAATACCTATACACTGACATTCAGGCTGTAAAGTAATTAGAATTATTATGCAAACATTTTTGTGGCTAGGATAGGAGGGTGATAAGAGCAGCCACAAGACAACCTTTCTTGAATATTGTCAGCTCTGGATTAAATGTTAAGTGATATAGTAACCAAAACAAAAACAACCCTAGCAAACTTTGACATAAGGCTGCTGGCAACTGCTAGTGTTAGGAACTCTTTCAAAGATGAGGTGCAGATTCTAGATCACCTGTTAAATTACGCCTTTAATGTATTTAGATTCTGCTTCCAAACTTCTAAAACAGAAGCAGATTCTAGTACCAAAAAAGACAACGGAAGTGCCCCAACTCTCCTCCACAGGGCTCACAACTGGCTGCAAGGAAAATGGCTAATGTTACTGTATAACTGGGGGGTGGGTTTGCCATCCGATAATAAGTCTTCAGAAATTGGGTGCACTGAATGTTCGAAAGGGAAAGGATAAAGACAAACCTCTATGAAGAGGAATGAAACAAAGTACAAAAGTACTAGAGGTTGTAACAGTAAAAATAGGTGTACTGTGGAATATACAAAGATACAATGCACCTTATCCCATATAAAATAAACTACAGAGCATACTGTACTGGTTATGTGACTGAAACAGCCTATCACCCTAATGGATGACCCATGCTGGGAGATGGATCAGAGTGCAAATCTGTTGCTTCTCATGCACCTCTCAGCTACTTCTGATATAATTGATCATGGTATCCTTCAGAAACAGCCTCTCCAGGCTTTAGTCCTTCCTGGAGGGTAAGTTTTAGATGGTGGTGCTGGGAGACTGATACTCAGCCCCTTGGCCTGTGTGACCCTGCAGTGTTCCATCCTCTACCCTGTGCTTTTCAACATCTGTGTAAAACCACCGGGTAAGATCATCCAAAGATTTGTGCTTAGTTGTCACCAATACACAGGTGACACTCAGCTCTGTCTTGTGCTTCTAGCAGGCCCTGTGTAGGCTATAGAAACCTTGGACTGGTGCCTGGAGGCAGTTTTGTAGTTGATGTGGGCTAATAAACCAAAGCGTAATCCCAACAAGATGGAGGTGCTACTAGTTAGAGAAGGTCTGACTCAGGATTTAAGGTATCACCTGTTTTGGATGGGGTTACACTTCCCTTCAAGGAAATAGGGGTGTAGTTTGGTGATACCAACCTGGATGCAGGCAGGTGGCAGCTGTGGTCAGGAGTGTCTTTTACTAGTTTTGACTGATTAGCTAGCTACAAGCTTTCCTGGGCAGAAAAGGTTTGCCCACTTTGGTGCATGCCCTGGTTACAAGTAGATTACATTATTGCATAGATTACATTATTGCATTGTAACCTCTGTGGGGTTGCCCTTTCAAAATATTCAGAAAAAATATTCATTTGGTGCAGTATGCTGTAGCCAGGATTTTGACTAGAGTGGGTCAAAGGGACCATATCATTCCAACCTTGCCCCCCTTCTGCACTGGCTACCAATTTGTTTCTGGGCACAATTCAAAGTGTTGACCTTTAAAGCTATATATGGCTTGGGACCAGCATAACTGAAGGTCCAACTACTCCCTTATGAGCCGACCCATACTACTATGGTCATCCTTGGAGGTTCTACTTTGGGTGCAGCCCACCTTCTGAGATTAGGCATATGGCAACCTGGGAGAGGGTCTTCTCAGTCATGGCATGAAAAACTTTGGAACTCTCTCCCCAAGGAGACTCATATATCCCTTCTGTTGCCATCTTTCACCCGTGGTTGAAGACTTTCTTCCCTGTGTTTTAATGGTTGTTTTTATGTTTGTGTATGTAAATTTTAGCTTTGGCTTTAACTATGTGTTTTTTTGTTTAGTTTTAATGGCTTTTAAGAAGTTTTTTATTATGTGTTTTTAATTTGTTAGCTGTTTTGCTGGCTCCAATATGAGCAGAGAGGCAGGGTATAAATTTGGGAAGTTACAATAAACTCTAGCAGAATGGTAGTTGGGGAAAGTATCAACTTTTAAACCCTCTCTTGTTACTAGATATACAAAAGTTTTCATTTTAATAGCTTGCACACAACTTGTATAGCTACCACATCTAAAGTGCCCAAATGAATTTAAGGGTTGTCTATCAAATTTTAAGTCCGCGTGTACCAAAGTGTCTCTGATGGACATGGTTTTCCTATATCCTACCACAGGCAGGCCCTTACAACATGGAACCTCATTCAGGAAATGCCAGCATATCAAATTTATATTTTTAATATGTGATGACTATGGGAAAAAATCCATAGAGAAGAATGAGACTTTCTTTTGAAGTTCCGATTGTAGACCTACGGGAGAATTGTTGAATAAGCAATCAGACCTCTTCTTTGTTGCTGCTACCAATGTCTCTGGGTAACCCCAAGAACTTGGCCACTAAAGATCATGATTCCAATGCATATTCTGCAAGACAAGATGTATTTCATTTGATGTATAGAAAAGCACTGAAATAAGTGTTGATGCAATCTCTAGTACTTATACTTCATTTGCAATAGAATGTACTAGTGCTAGTGTTCAGCCCATTCTAAATATGAAGCTTGGAGATAGCAGATCAGAGCTTTTCCCACTTAAGTGATGGTGTGAGGCTGACTGTTCATTAATAATCATTTATCTGTAAGCTTCCACCCAAAATATCAGCACTTGCCATAAAATAGACCTTCTGTTTTCTCCCCAAATAGAGGAGGTAAGGTTGAAAGGAAGCAAACGGTACTTGCTCTAATAATTGACAATGGGACATGTTACAATTTTAGTTAGAATTGCACAGAGCTAGTCTAACTGCCCATGGGTACTTGATTGCTAGATGTAGAGTTTTCATCAAGCAATACATTTAGCAGCTACATGGAATACACTGAGCACAAATTACGTCAGATTTACTAACTCTACTTCACAGAGTGGAGCCCTGAAGATTATTGACAGAAAAAAGAACATCTTCAAACTTGCTCAAGGAGAGTACATTGCACCAGAGAAGATAGAAAACATCTACATAAGAAGTGCTGCTGTCGCACAGGTGTTTGTGCATGGGGAAAGCTTACAGGTAATAGTATATTCATGTAGAGCTGGACTTATGAGATCCTCACCTGGTCCCTCTGTAGACGGATGACTGTCCAAATAGTGTCAACTTAAGACCTGTTCCACAGCTTCTCTAGACTACAAAGGGGATATAGATACAATAGAGACCTAGTGGGTGGTATGTTCATAAGAGAGCTGCTTCCTAACGTGAAGTGACATATAAAATCAGAACGGGCTTAGGTGTGTTGTAAATAGAAATTGGATTGGTAATAGGAGCCTGATTTATCTGCTCCCCCCCCCAGTCTTTCTTGGTTGGTGTGGTGGTTCCTGACCCAGAGACTCTTCCAGAGTTTGCAGCAAAGTCGGGAGTGAATGGTTCATATGAAGAACTCTGTAAAAATGAAGTAAGTACCACTTTTTTCTCACTGAGGAAAATGCCTGATCTTGAATTGTGCTCTGAACAAAACTGTATCTGTCTGGGATAACATGGCCACTGATTTCACCAGTCATGCATGCACAACAACTTTGTTCAGAAGTGGTGTTCCTTAAATGATTATGGATGGTTCTGTGCAAATAACTGTGTGACACTGAAGTAATCAGTTTTCCACCCAAGCCACTCACAGGCAGATTGTCTGTCTCTGTTTCTTCTGAAGAGCTTCATACAAGGTGTGTAAGAGGATAACTAAACTTTAGCAATGAATGCAAGAATAGTGGGTGAGAGAAGAAGCAATGCTTAGAACTGTCTGTCAGTAACTGCCTACTGCATTGCTTGCATAACTTACGTTGTACAGTGCCTTGTACAGTGCCTTGGAATGTTGTGTCAGTTGAAATTTTCCACTCGAAAGCTCATAATGCAAGGTCTTGCTAGACATTAATACCACAGAGTTGCTCAAGGGTGGTAGTTATATATTGAGCAATGCTCCCAAAAGTCTCACCTTATTAATGAAATATCCTATTTTCACATACTCTCTTTTGGGGAGGGGGAGTAACCCTGCCTGCATCTCAATTAAGTGGTGTTGTGCAGCAGGGAAGATACTAAAACATGCAACAAATACTTCAGTAAGTAATGGAATACGGGATGGTGCTGGTCCAGATGTTCTCACAATAGCTCTTCAGATTCCTAAAAGATTATTAAAGTACAGAAAAGTGACCATAAGCAACGTTTATTGAAGGCTTATTAGACATAGCAGTGAACACTCAAAATTGGTTGAAAGGGAAGTGTAAGAAATACCCCAATATGAGAATCATGTCAACTGTGAGGGAATAGGCTTTCTTCAGTGATTTGGGTCCATTTGCCGAGCTATGGCCACCTCCAATACAGTAGTGTTCTGCTGCTTTTCATTAGCATAAATAGACCTGTAGCTAGTCAGATATTCCCTTTAAAAATACTGATGAGTTCACAGAGATGTCCACTGTTTTAGGGGTATTGCACCAATGATATTTGGTAACATGAGGAAGGGTTTGTTCTCAGGTCAAATGTAGGGTATGAAAGGAGCTGGGAACCATGGAAAAAGTAGGGAAATGGTATGACGGCTGCCACCAGCTATTGGGTGCTTTAAAAAAAAGGTGTGTGCAGTTATGGAATCCTGGACAGTAATCAAGTAGAAAGACTCTGGTGAAGAAAGGGGAAATGCAAAGATACCCTTGTTTCACAGAGGTAGCAATGCCAAGGGGGGGGGGGTCTACAGTACATGTGCAGAGCTCATAGAAAACTTCTCATTCCAAGTGAAAGCAAACCTGATTTTGGCTATGATGGAGAGGAGGGGAGGTGGAGTAAGTACAGGTCTAATGTGATACAGATGGGCAAGATCCACAAAAGAGAAGCATAAATATCTTGGCCAGCTAGACACTACCTTACTGCTGGTGGGATAAGCACCAGGATTCAGCTGAACTCTAGTGAGAGTCAAGAACATAACAAAGGACCACGTCTTTGGGGTCTCCTCTTACAGATTAACTGAAAAGTGGCTTAATTGCAATGGGACACTGGGGGCTCTTCCTTTTACCTTGTCAGGTAAGGAATTCGTAAGCCTGTTGAAAGATGTGGGGGAACTATTTATAGATCATTCTGATAGCTGGTCAGCTGTCAGAAATGCCAGTCTTTGAGGGCATCTGTATACTTTTCTCCTGGATGTGAGTTATTGTCCCATTGAGCTCTGCCTACCACAACGCTGTATTTTGCTGCAACAGATGAACCTTTTCATGTTGAATACAAAGGAAAGAGGGATTATTGGGGAGTGGTGACTGGCCTTGCACCACAACATGCTAAATAAAATACTACTGCTAAATTGTCTTTTAGGCAGTGAAAAAAGCTATTGTGGAAGACATAACCAAGTTGGGGAAAGAAGCTGGACTTAAGTCCTTTGAACAAGTAAGTAGCTTATTCACTCAGGTTCTTGCTAGTAGGATATTTTAGGAAAATGGCTTTCAAGAGTGATCTAAAGAAAAAATCTGCAAAAGCAGATGTAATCAATCCTCACCATCTAGGTGAAATCTAATGGGACTGTCTTTAATACATAAACGTAAATAATATAATATAATGCCTCTAGTACAAAAGACTAAGTCCATGATCCCATTGTTACTTCCACTGTGTCTAGGAACAAGAAGAACAGATGTTGGTTTTGTTATTAAAGGACTTCAAATTTTAAGGTTGACGCCAACACTGGGCTCCCAAAAGGCAGCTGAGGAGGGCCAATGGATGGGTTGCATATCATTCTAGGACATTCTTGTTCAAACTCTGTGGTTGATCTTGGACAAGTCAATGAATTTCCAGGATTGTAGCTACTGCTATGTCTTTATCGTCATCTGCTGAAATAGTGTGCTGGATGAATGCATATATTATGCTATGTAGCGTGATTTATCTTAAGCTCCTAATCAAATGTTGGTTGCTTTACCTCAAAAAAGATGAAGATGAATGCCAGAGATTGAAATAAGGGTAGCTTGGATGGTTGTATAAAAGGATGGTGGACACCATGAGGCTCCCTTAATGCAAAAGTGTATAGAGGATGGGTACTTGCTTAAGAGCACAGACTTCCTGATTCAGGAAAAAAATTCACGGTAGTACTGTAATTTCTATCAGGTTGAATAGTCTAGGTTCTGTGTCTGTAAGTGCATCAAGCTTATTACTCTGGCAATCTGTATGACAGGTGTTATCATACTCTGTTTGCAACTAGGTAAAGGATATCTACCTTCATCCAGAAATGTTCACAGTTGAAAATGGACTCTTGACTCCAACCCTAAAGGCCAAGAGAGCAGAGGTATCAAAATGCTTCAGGAGCCAAATTGATGCCCTTTACACTTCTAGTATATAAGAAGGCAAAGACTAACTTGGAATATAAGCTTACAATGGACTACAACAGCACTCGCCAGGAAACTAAAGTCTTTATTTCCTTTTATCATCTGGTGTCTTTAGAAGGCATACCACATAGAAACAAGTTGTGGTGAGTTGTATAAAATCAGCAAGGTGTTTAGGTGAAGACTACTGACTTGAGACAGTCAAAGCAATTGGCGAAAGTGTCCTGTTTCCTCAACAATTACTGTCGTGTCTTAGTGATTATATGATCCAAATGGAAAAGCCTTGATGGTATACTGAGTATGACTGTTCTTATGAATAAAACAGCTGAATAGGAAAATCTCTCTGGAAGAACTTTCTGTGGTGGGTGTACAGGTCAAAGTGAGGTATTGGAGTGACTTGACTCTGTGGAATACTGAATGGCTCTACCATACTGAGGGATGGAAATTTACTTAGTCATGTCATCTCTGGCTTTGTATAATATGCTTGAAGGACAAAACCATGCACCTTAAGGCTCTTAACTGTAAGTCTCTTACCTGTAATAGCAGCCATAAATGTACCTACCTCTTCTAGTTTGAAAATTTATATTTCTCCCAAAGCATAATATAACTGTATTCCCGCAAGATGACGAATATGTGAAAAATAAAAAAATACTGCACTGTCATATTGTCTAAGTACTTTGATTAGAACCTCTTATCCAGAGCTTGATATGTTAGCTTTTACTTATTAGGTAAGCACTATTATTGGAGAATAACATTGGTTAGAGTGATACTGTACAGTAGAGCCCTGGGGTGTTATTTTAAAAAAGTTGTGCTTCTAATCTGCACAGTAGCAAGCAACTTCTTGGCAGCTGTGGCAAATTTCTGGAAACAGGAAACAGATCTTCAATCTTAGAACTCCCAAACAAATCAGAGTAATTTCCTAGCTGATAAGATACTGCTAACATTGCATAACATATTACAAATGCAGAAGCCTATAAATGTCCAATTGTATTAGACTTCATTCAAGGAGTAAATTCTTGCTACCGGAGTTGTATGCTTAAATCTGCTCTGCCAAGTTTTCTCCACAGTCTTGATATATTTCAGCCCTGAGTACTTTTCCAATTGATTGTAATATGTTCTGATGTGTAAACTGCATGAACTCTTTGTGGCCATGGAAAACAGCATTATTATGAAGGGGTTACCAACAATTTTACAACCATGGAGGAAGTTTTTCAGCTAACTTTTCTGAGTCAATATAAAGAATTGTTCAGCAAGGAAGCAACATAATTCCAAAAGAGACATAAATATTATCTTTTTGGTCTGTTTAGCAGTTGCACTTCCATGAATCTAAGTAGTTTAAACCCAGAAAATATATAAAATTCATCATTCCTGTTCCAAATAAAGGGTCCTGCAAGGAAGGTGGTAGAAAATTAGTGCAGAAGGGTAGGATTTTCACTTATTGTACAGCTTTTGTTAATCAGCTACAGAATTTAGAGGCTCATCTTACATTAGGTGTGCTCTTATGGTAAGAATTTGAATGGCCAAATATGCCACCCTTTAATCTTCCCTAAAAGCACATACACCTTATGATGGACTGCCCTTTAAAAGATCGTAAGTGCTGTGTAACCAGGTAATGGACTGTGAAGGATTAATGCCTCACAGAACCAGAAAGCTTGAGTGACAGGCTGCTCCAAGGAATTTGACTGGTTATTGTGAGTTGAGCGTGGGCCCTGACTGAGAGCAGTTTAATGGATGGAGAACTGGGGAGGTTGGCAGGAGGAGTAGGTAGATCAGTTAAAACTCCCATTCAGGCCAGAAAAAGGGATAGATCGTCTGGTGAGAGAAGAATTCCCTACCCAGTTAAAAAAAAGGGAGATAGTGCAAAGAGTGGAGTGATCCCTGGTCTGGTGTGTTTAGAGTCTGCCTTCTGAAACCTGAAAAGTCAGTAAAACTCAAGAAAGTGTACTGATGTGTTTAGTGATTTGGGAACTGGATAGTTTATCCCTGGCTTCTGAAAACCAAAAGAGACAGTTAAGTTCAAGAGAGTATACTGGAGAGTTTAGGAAACACTGGGAAAAAAGCCTCTCATCTTAAAGATTCTAAGACTGTGTGAAAAGCTTAAACTCTCATTTACTTGAAATTGTAGTCTGTGCCCATACTGATTTATCTCAGACATTTTATCCCAGTTTCACCTGACCTTTTCCCCTCTACTGTGAATAAAACATTTTGTTATTTTTGAACTTTAAAAAGTCTCTTGTGTGCCATTTCAGTAATTTAAGTTAAAGGGGTGATCTTATCCCTTCCTTCAGGTTCTTGGGCTGAGCCAGCAGCAAGATATACTGTGGCAAGGTGGGACAGCTACAGATTTTCAGAGAAGAAATTAGATAAAAAGGGCTGCTCAGTCAGAAAGGGAGAGAAAAATGGAGGGAAAATTCTGCCTCTGAGGGAGGGAAGTGGGTGAGATGGTCATATACCTGTTTGTAAGAAAAAGCCATCATGTGTTCCTGGATAAATTTGGTGTTTCAGTCACATGTTCAGTTTTATATACATCAAATGTAGTAATGTGATGTACTCAATGCATGTATAGAGTAATGTATAGAGTAATGTGATGTACTCAATGCATGTATAGAGGCCAGTCAAGTGTACTTTATACACAGATTGAACATGCACTTAAATGTGTGATCAGGGTTTCATAAACATGCTTAAATACCTGTTAAATCTGTTCACCTCATACATCCTACCCGATTCCACCTGACCACTTCTCTATTTTGAACTTTCTTTCTGTCTTTTAATAATATTTTATTGGTTTTCAAAAGAAAAAGGTGAGAGTATTACATTGTGATAGTATCTAGTCAGTTTGCTCACACATAACATACAAACAAAAATTACCTAAAGCTTTAACAAGTTAACAAATATCTTTTTAACAATGTTACATATTTCTAATAGTTGGAAACAACATCTAGACAGTAATATAACAGGTTAGCAATTTCTCTTTGCACCACATAATAAAATCAACGCCAAGATGTGAATCTAGATCCATAATGTCTTTCTTATTGAGTTACAGCTGTAGATTACATGTTTCTTAACATGAACAAATTATCCTTCTTTATTTTATAATTATGTGTTTCATTTATGTTTAAATATTTTTGTTATTCTTTTATTCCCAGCTATAACTCAGATTAAACCATTATACATATATCAGCATTCCTTATACCAATCTAATTTTTTTGAATTTTATTTTTGATGATCATAAGCCGGCGTGTTTTCTCTTTGTATGTGCTGAAGGTGGTCTTTATTTCTTCCCTTGTATGTTCCATACTTCCATTGGGTGAAGTTTTCTGACTTGTATTGTTTTTCATGTTTTTTTTTGTTTGCAAAAGCCAGGCCATATAACAACTCATCTTGTATTCTCTCTTCCGGCATTTCAAGAGTTGAAAAAATTATTGCTCTTCCCATGATTTTTTTTACTTTGTCTTGTATTGCTTCTTATGAGTTCTTTGTCTGAAAGCAAAGTTCCATGAAATAGTTCATCTTGGTTGGAATCCTGCTCCTTACTGGGCATATTACAGTCAGCTGGTCTTCTTTCTCGTTTGCAATTTCCTGTTGTAAGATCAGTTCCTTGTTGTACAGTCTATGAAAAGTATTCTGGATCTCTTGGTGAATTGTGGTCTCAAGCATCTCTAGAAATTGTTGCAGGTTAAATTGCATGTTTTGTACATCTTCTGGGTCATCTAACGCCTCTACTTTGAAATTATTTTGTAACTTCATTTTAATTTTGAGTCACAGTTCTGTTGCTCAAGGTCAGCTTTCTCTTGTTTACTTTCCCAGAGAGTCTTGCAGAACTGGTCGCTAATTCAAAACACCAGACTCAGTAGCTATGTTAAAATCCAAGAATCTTTCTACATAGACCAAACAATATGGAGTCTCTTTAATATTTCTCAGAAGCAATCATTAAGTAAATTTTTGATGTTAAAACAGACTTGAGAGCAGTTGCACCATCAAAAATAGCCAGAATCCATTTTAACAAGAACATTAAGAATGTTAAACACAGTCCCTTTTATTTTTAAATCCCATATAGTAGGAGGAGAAGGCGTTGCATTGCAGATTCAAAAGTACAAATTCCGCAATAATCGCAGTTAAGTCTATTGAAATGTTCAAATAGCAGTAATTGAGTCTTTTTGCCCCACTAAATAGTTTCAAAGATTTTAACTTCCCAGTCTCTTGGCAGCTGCTCATGAGGGGGAGGGGGGGGAACTCCATGTCTCGTTCCTTTTCTTTTTGGAAAATTTAAATGGGCGACATCAAGATATCTTTGGAGATAAAGTTGTTGCAGTTACCGGTGCTCACATCAGTTCTTATCTTCACTGATGTTATGGTGAGGTTCAGGCTCTCGTAGTTGGGTGTTCACAGCTTATCAGTCATGGCTCCATGACTGTGCCGCTCCGCGCCGTGCTTCGGGACAGCCTCAGTCTTCCAGCTGCTTGCTACCGCTCATGAGGAGACCAGGGCAATTCCCCTGCAACCAACTCTCTCTTCGGGAGGGTCGGTGGGATCTCGGGTAACCAAAGCACCCCCCCTAAAGGTGTGGAATGTCAGCGATTCTTGGGAGCTCACCTGAGTCTTAGCCGCCTTGTTGCGCTGTAGCCCACGATCTATTTTGAACTCTCAAAAGCCTCTTGAATGCCATTTCTGAAGTTTCCTGGACTGGGCCTATATATATGTATCTATACACATACACTCAAGTGACTGGGTGAGCCAGCCATAGACAAACAAGAAGAAAATAGATATAGGTACTGCTCAGCAATAAAGAAGAAAAAGAAAAAAAGGAAAATCCTGTGCATGAGGGAGGGAAGAGGGCAAGTATGCTATAGCTGTATTTGCAAACTCAACTAGATGCTTAATTGGACTGAAGCACTTATAATACTGCAGCACATTCCTTGCTGATTAAGTAGCTATCTGTTCTACCCATAGAGTTAAGCACCATACATTCAAACCCATTTCTGTTGTTGTTTACATGATACTGAAATTGATCAGATAGCTTCTCTGCTACATTTCTGGCACATAGATTTTTAAAAGATTGGTTATAAGGGAAGCTATACCTCCTCTGGTGAACATGAATAGGTTGCCCTACTTTTTGTCCATTTTAAAGTTTTGGAAAACATTAAAGATCTCTATACAGGTGGGGGATATGGCCAACTAAACTGAGAACAGCTTTGAAAAAATCAACATTCTGTCAATAGGACACATGGATCTCATTCCAAATTGCTGGCTACCAGTTTGTCACAGAAACATGAGCAACTCTAGTGACTCTCTCAAGATCTTGTGTTTCTTCTCTGAGCAAAGATTTGGACATGGTACAGATATATTGAGCATAGCATCTTTACAAATGGTAAATAATTCCTCAGGTTCTCAGTATTTTTTCTTATTTGCTCCCACATGGGAGAAAGTCCTCTTCCCCATCTCCACGGGTATTCAGTAAGGTTTTATGTGTTTCTCTCACTTCACCTTGATAGAAAAAGGTGATACTGGAGAATAGCCTCCCTGTGCTGTAAGTGGCAATGAAAGATGTCAGACAGAAACAGTGTAGCTCAGCTTCAACATTAATAGCCTGTCTTTGTAGCAACTGAGGTATACACAGGCACAAAGGACTATCTGTATACTGCCAGGTCAATGGTCTGTCTTTTGCTGCAACCTAGCTACAGACTGTGAGTTGGCTTAAACAAGAGAAATGACTCTTACAGTATCACAGTTAAGGTTAAAACAGCAATCTCAAATATCAACACCAAAACATATGAGCAGCATTATAAGCCTAGACTGTGATCAGATACAGGTTCTTCTACAACCCCTGTCATTGTGAGAAACTCCTAATTTCTAAGCCCTCAACCTGAGGTTATCAACAGGAAGTGTCTGTCAAACTTTCTTCCTTTTTCTTCCCTGCACATGGAGATAACAGCCATGAGGAAGCTATTCACATGTTCTAGTGTTCCCTGAACAAATGTGAGTAGACCACATTCTGTCTAGTCTAACACTATCCCAGAGGCCAGATGCTGAAAGCTTTAAAGTGGGGGCAGTATAATAGTGCTTCCCTACCCTATGAATATTGCCTCTGACACTGGAAATGTTATCTGCAGTGGAGAATAACCTTTGAATTCAGCTACTTGAAAGCTGATGTATTTGTATTAAATGCTTCCTTTTCTTTAGTGTTGCTAACCAAAAGCTCTAATAAGGTAGTGAGAATTATATGTTTTTTCCATGTCACTCATTTCAACCTTCAAAGCTCGTATTTCAAACTCTTCAACACAGCCATAAAAACTTTACAGGAAGAAACACAAGTCATCACAAGTAGCCTTTTCACTAAGCCAACCTTGTCTTGCATTTCCACTAGTGCAAGACATAGCACAAGGCATATTTCAGTATACACTTTCAGTAATGACATGCTTTGACCAAATCATGAAGACTACATCAAATAGCCTTTTTAAAATACAGCAAATGTTGACTGGGAATGGAAATCCAGTGCTTGCTGTTAAAGAAGAACCGAGTTAAGAGAAACTTCTCTTCTGCTATTGCAGAATCCAAACTTACAAGTTCTTGTAGGTATAGTCCTTTACTTCATGGATCAAGGTTAGGGTCCTCAGAAGGTATACTGAACACTGAGTGAATGGTGCTGTCAGATGAAGCTGCCATGAGTGTGGTGTATGTTTCTAATTGCTTTGCATTCCTTCTCATGCGCTTAATTGCCTCAAAGCTTTAACGCGTATCTATCAAGGTCACTGGAGGTGTTGGTAGTGTCTAGGTTTCGTGGGAGCTTCTTACGTTCCGAGCTTCGCGGCCGTTAGAGAATCTGCCAAATGCCCACGCGCGGGAGCCCATCTAATTGGGTAGTACTTGGGGGGGGGGCGCATACAAATGCCCTATATCCTATTAGGCGCATAGGTAACCCGCCATTCCTAACAGTGTTCGTGTTACTGCATCTATGGCTTTTCAATAAAAGTAAAACCTTCTTGGAAGCGTGTACTTCGCTGTCTTGCTGTGGATCCTGACAGGTGCCTATGCTATCAGAAAGCACCCTCTCAGAGCAGTTTCATCTTAAGACTAAATTGTTAAATACAATGAGGTTCTATTACTATGCATTTTTAAGAGCAGTCCACCTGAAGCAAAGGTAAAAGTCATTATAGGAAGGAACACAGGAGTGTTGCACAAACATGATTCCAACAGCAGTGTCAGAAGGGCAAATGAATATACCTGCCTGTATTCACGTTTCTACAGACACCTTACCCATACTGCTTTCTTCTTCACTGTATGGTACAGAATCCATCTTTAACAAACCTGGGTTAGTAATCTACGTATTTTCTCTTATTGCAGAGGAAACCACTGTTGAAAGAAACATTTTGGACAGGTGGAAGATGGATGCCCTTGTTCACTTTAGCAAATGGAAGGGAAGAAAATGAATTTTTAGGCCTAAGGAACTTGGGAAAAAACACCCAAGTATTTACATTAATGTCTTCTCCTACTGTAAAACTTCACTGCATTAATTCTGCAGTAAACTCTTCTATAAACAACCATCACAGACTACATACAGAATACATATTGGTGTTTATTTGTGAGTGACAAAAATTCACATAATTTTTAAAATAAAAAAAATTATTCCAGGTATTAAGCCTTTTACTTGCATCTGCACTGATCCAAATTTCTCCTATTTCAAGGTGGGAGGGCGTGGTGAAAGGGCAACTTGAGGAATGTAACAGTTAAGTAACAAACAGAATACGTCATCTAGATGCCTTCTAATGAAAAGGACTTTAAAATCAAGAAGTGTACCGTTGGTATTAAATAAAATGAAAATGGATCAAATGATGATCTGAACTATAAAATTTCAATAGCAAAAGGCATCCTATGGAATGGCTTCCTCCATTTTAAAAATGGCAAAAGTGTTAACAGTTAGGGCACTGGGGCACCTATTCTTGTGAATACACAAATACACTTTTTGTTCAAAGCATAAGTATATAATATGCAGAACAGTTCAAGTAAAAGGACAGTGGTCCAAAAGAAAAAAAAATCCATTTACTAATACACGGACAGGGAAGTGCTATCTTGTTTTCTTTTCTCCATCCAACTGTTGATCAGTTTCAGAATCATATAGGCATTTCTCTACACACCTTCTTGGGAACCAGCCTCTGATTCTCTTCCCATCTTAAGAGAGAAAAACAAGCAAATTAGTGACAGAAGACAGCAATGCTTTTCAGAGATCACCCCTATATTCCTGCCCCTTCCACCAACCAAAGTATGTACAGATGGTTGTGGAGTAAGCTTTTCTGGTCTCACAGGTGGATACCTAAATCAAAGTATCTCTGGCCTATAATGCCAGCACACACTACCCATCTGCAGTGATTTCTCAGAGATTTAATAATGCACTAAAATGCAAATAAAATGTTCCCCCCTGTTCCACAAAGTACTGGGAACTACTAGTTGTGCCTATGAAATCATACCATTGGTCCAGATAACCTAGAATGGTCTATCTCAAACTGGCTGGCAGAGGCTCTTTATGCTTTCAGGCTGCTGCATGAGATCTTTAAACTGGCAATGCCAGGGACCAAACCAAAGACATTTTGCCTTTTCCAGTCATGATGAAAGTATGGCTAGCTGGAAAGTTATTACAATTTAAGGGCCATACATGTACAGAAACTGTAACGTGATGTGCCCCTAAAAAGTGACCACCCTAAAATTTTTGTTCTGCATGGACATCACTTGTTCTCAGTTGTTTGAATGAGAAGCTATAAACTCTAAGGATCTTACAAGATAAAGAATGATCTTTATAATTTATATGAAGATACCTGACAGTGTACAAGCATACTTCTTATTTAAACATATTCTAATAGCAAAGTTGGGATATCTTTGGATACTTAAATCTGGTGACTGGAGCTGTGAACAGGCAAGACAGACCTTTCTAAAATGCTGGCAGTTTAAAAAATCCAAAGATGATAGGGGCACCTGTAGCTTTAAGCAACAGATTCCCACAGTAGCTGTTGCTAGGCAACCACAGTATTCCAAGCCTGGTTTCTGTCTGTAAAAGGTCAGTGGAGGAGGCAGGGCCCTTTTCTAGCCTATTTTGGGAGGACTCACGGCAGCCAGCGGTGGGCCTAGAATTGCCAGCTTCAGGCTGAGAAACCCCAGAGATTTTGTAGTAGAGTCTGAGGAAGGCAGGGTTTGGGGAGGGAAGAGGCCTCAGCTGAATACAAAGCCAACCTCCAAAGTAGTCATTTTCTCCAGGGGGACAGACCTCTGTTGTCTGGAGTTCAGTTGTAATTCTGGGATGTTTCCAGGTCCACCTGGCGGTTGGCAACCCTACCCTAGGCCTGGAAGCAACCTCTGGGTGACTTGATACCACCCAACTTGCATGACTGAACTGGCCTGGCTTCTTGCTACTGTTCAACAGCAGCCACCCTATGAACACCAGTGTAGTGTACTGGTTAGAGCTTCAGAGTAAGGTCTGAGACTCAAGTTTGAATACCCATCTTGCTGCAGAACCTGACTGGGTGATTTTGGGGATTGTCAAGAGGAGGGTAAAAGGATAGGAAACCCCTTGATTTTTTTTTTTTTGGGGGGGAAGCCTGATCGGGGGGGGGGTTGAGGAGGAAAGGGACCTCAGAGGTGTAATAATGCCATAGACTCCACCCTCCAAAGCAATCAATTCCAACCAGTTCGGTGTAGTGGTTAAGAATGGCGCACTCTAATCTGAAGAACCGGGTTTGATTCCCAGCTCTTCCACATAAAGCCAGCTGGGTGACCTGGGGCCAGTCACAGTTCTCTCAGAACTCTCCCAGCCCCACCTACCTCACAAGGTATCTGTTGTGGGGAGAGGAAGGGAAGGTGATTCTAAGCCGCTCCAAGACTCCTTCGGGTAGTGAAGGGGTGGGGTATAAAACCAACTCTTCTTCTTCTTGAAGAGAACTAGGGCTGCCAATCTCCAAGTGAGGCTGGAGATCACCCAGAATTACAACTGCTCTTCAGATGACAGAGATCAGTTCCTCTGGAGGAAATGGCTGCTTTGGAGGGTTGAATTTATGGCATTATACCCTGCTGAAGTTGCTTCCCTCCCCAAACTTCCACCCCCAAATCGCCAGGGATTTCCCAACCTCAATCTGGCAACTCTAAGGAGAACTGATCTCTGTAGCCGGGAGATCTGTTGTGATTCCAGAAGATCTACAGCCCCCACCTGGAGGTTGGCAACCCAAGGAGCGAAGAAGGGACAGGGGAGAGACTATGGAGGCTTTCAGGAAATAGGAAATAGTGGGAGAGGGGGAGGTGAGATGCCTCCCGCAAGTCCTTGCGGGTTCCTACTTGTTATAGTAAATTTTGTGCACTGAAGAAATGCTTTCAGCATTCCTTTCATAAGCATCAGAAAGAGTTTGATTTACGAAAAATGAAAGGAGAATTTGAAGATAACTTCTTGAACTTGAAAAGTGTAACCCTTGAAAAGAAAATCAGTCTATCAAATGATGTACCATTAGCAGCAGAATTCTTTAAAAACAAACAAGCAAACAAAAAACTAAAAAACAAAGTTACCATCAGTTGTCAAATCAGTAATTTTGTCTCCATACATCCAGTGTCTGAAAGATAAGGAATACATTAACTGGGCATGACATTTGTTCCAGTAACACTCTTCAACTAAACTTCAAACAGAGACATGCTAATACTAACTTCAAGCCTCTAGTGGCTAAAATCAGATCCCCTTTGTTGAGTGCAATTCTAGGTTCTTCAGTGCATGGAGTGGTGAAGAAGGTTCTCAAGCCTTTTGTGAGAGGGCAGCAGGCACCACTGTAGTCTTCTATTGCTCGGTACCGTACCTGCCATTGTTGAAAAATCACAGATAAAATGTACAGTCTGATGCTACTTGACGACTACAAACTGCCGGCTATTATCTTGATCTCTGTGGCAGAGAAGAAACATGTAGTACATTTATCTATGATCTTCCCGACTCAAGGAATGTAACCGAGGGAATACGATTAACTGTATGTAAACACTGCAGTCCTTCACGTCTCTGATTTATAAAAGCCACCTGGAAGTCGCATGTAGAGATTCAGAAGAGTATGCAGACTTCTCGCACAAAGAAAGAAGGGCAGACTGGAGCAGAGAACTCTTGGAAGCTTCAATTCTGGTGTCTTTTTTTTAACTTCTTACCTCCTTGGGGATATACAACCTTTGCATGGTTGGGCTCATTAAAGCACTAAGGATTTAACAAGGCTTTCCTGTGACAATGAGATGGATATTATTATCTTCTCTCCAGCAGGGCAATGGGGGGGGGGGGGGGGGGGGTGAGCATAATGCACTTCTAGTCGTGACTTATGAAACTTATTTTCTCATCTAGTCAGAGCCAAACTGTACTCAATATCAGCAGAGTTCAACTTTTTTGGTACAGGCAGTTTCTATTCTCCTTTTTAATTTTTTTATTCTATTATTTTATGTTTTCCATATCAATAGCTGTCTCTTCCTTCCTTCCTCTTCTTCTGCTCCCCCCCATCATGGCACTGCAGGTGTTGCAGACTCTAATTCAGGTCATGACTTAGCGGAAGATCAATGCTTTATGCTGTAATGGGGTTTCTACCATAATAGGACTTCGTGCCTTCAGTCAAACACAAAATGTTAGAGCAAAGTACCTTCAAAAGGATATTTTAAATTAAAAGTATCCCAAGAATAAATGACACTTAACAGAGTCCAAAGGAGAGTTACACGGGATCCAACTAGACACGTTGGCATCCCGTGGCTGCCACAAGGACACCGTCATAATTTTAACATGATTTCAAAATGCTGAAAGGGCCTGATCCTGATTGGACTTACAACACAGCACTCTTGTTTCCTCAAGTGCTGAAACTGCTGCAGGCGTGGTGTCCTGCCGTTCTGGCACTTCATAAAGCATGGGGGAAGGTCAAGAGCTCCTCAGCCCGCTGCAATCACAGCATTCTAAAATCACTTTAAAATGTCTTGTTTGGCCCTAAGCCCACTGACTTCAGGGTGTAACTCTATTTAGGATTGCTTGGTCAGTCCATATCGATTTCGGAAGATGCTAAAGAAGAAGCATCCCAGGTGTACTTACGCTCCTCACTCGTTTGTCAGCTTTCTGTTTCAGTTGCTCTATCTGCAAGAAATATGCACAGAAAGATTACAGAGCATCTCACCTGACAGTGATTTCTCAACTTTAAAGATAGTCAGGTTCATTTCAATGTGGGTGAGGGGATGGGTGTGGTAATTACCGTCAGACTATACTGATGAGCACCTTCCCTCACAGGCCACTCCAAGCCATCTCCCTCTGGGATTCCAGACCAAGTGAATACTTGCTTGAAGTTACTCCACTTACTTCCCAAGTCATAAGGGAAAACAAAAGTCTCTCTCGTTTGGTAATATTGGATACGGTCTTTGGCCTATCACGAAGGTACATAAGTACAGTAAATTCTACACACTAACAATAAAATTCTAACGCTAGTTTTAAGTAGTACTCAGACTACATGATCGGCAAACTCTGGCTTATGGGTCATGGAGGGTCAGTTGTAGATATCAATCAATTCAAAGAAGTGAACAGAGAGCCAGTGTGGTGTAGTGGTTAAGAGTGTTGGAAGTACCTGGGAGACCCTGAATACCAACTCATGCCATGGATGCTCGCTGGGTGACCTTGGGCCAGTCACTCTCTCAGTCTAACCTACCTCAAAGGGTTGTTATAAGGAGAAAACTGAGGACAGGAGAATGATATAAGTTGCTTTGGGTCCCCATCGCAAGGAAAGGCAGGGTACAAATGAAGTAAGTAAATAAATAAATTGAATTAAAGGAAGAAGCTCATAGAGTTCAAGCTAGCCAAGAACACAACAGAGATCCACCACACCAAGTCACTTAGGGGGCCGCAAGGGAACCTAAGAGGATGAGGAAAAAATCTCAGTGCATTTTTCAGAATTCTAAGCTAAAAGGCAGGCTAGGCTATGGAATAAGGGCGCTAAACTCCAGCTGACATGGGAAGGCAAACAGGATTAACTATTCTGGAGATGAATCCTGAAAGAAGAACAAAAGCAAAACAGTAGAAGGTTCCTGAAGAGAGGAAGTGTGTTGTATGTTTGTGGGGAATGTGGTCCTCCGGACATGATCAGATCAAGAAAATTTTCCACCAATGAAGAATAATATGAACTGATTTTTGAACCAATCTGTAATTTAAAATATTACAGTCTGAAACATTACAAGCTTCTGAATTGCGTCCAGAAGTATTAAATTTACATTTTGGCTAGCTGTCTGGACCTGTTTCTAAAAGGAAACCGAAATGGACCATGTGGATTAAGAGATCTGACTCCTCATGTCCCCTGGGGACAAAGTGTACACATAGAACAGTATTTTTTTAAAAAAAGAAGAAGAAGAGATTGGATTTATACCCCACCCTTCACTACCCAAAGGTGTCTCAGAGTGGCTTACAAACTCCTTTCCCTTCCCCTCCCCACAACAGACACCCTGTGAGGTAGGTGGGGCTGAGAGAGCTCTTGACAGAAATTGCTCTTTTTCAAGAACAGCTCTTATCAGAACTATGGCTTGCCCAAGGTCATCCAGCCAGGTGCAAGTGGAGGAGCAGGGAATCAAACCCGGTTCTCCCAAATTAGAGTCCGCACACTTAACCACTACACCAAACTGGTTAAAAGGAATAACTGGAAACTTTTACCTCAATGGTTATATTTCACTATCACAGTATCTTTGTGTTTACTGACATAAACAGTTCTTGTATACCTCAAAACTTTTACTGTACTTGTACATCCCAAGCTTTCTACTGCACTGCCTGTTTTAATAAGCCTTTTGTATTTTGCATCATACTGACCTCTAGTGATACACAGTAAATAACACATTTTGTAATAAACACACACAACTTTATTTACCATACTGCATCTAAAGTACCCATCTCTTTTACATATAGGACATGTTCTATCCATGTTAATTGATGTGTCAGCTACATAGGGGCATGAGGTTTTTTTTTTTTGAATACCTAAATATTTCTCTTTACTTTATTAAACAGGGAAGCCCTTTCTGGTTAGGGAACTAATGGACAAACAGACATAAGTGTTCCAACAATGGATTTATGTATAAATATTATATCAACAAATGCAGTTGGCGCACACTTTTTTGATCATGCAGAAAAGGTCCTTGATCTTACACTCAAAGAAAGAAATATGACAACTTTAAAGAAGGAGATGAAATACGTTACATCTGTAAGTCATTGGACAGTTATTTTCTGATAACAAATGTACGCATAAATCTTATTTCCCACTAAATGTTATGAAAGCCATGGGATATTTCAACAGATGAATTTAAGCTGTGTTTTCGATGCAGATGAAAACACAAGTAAGGATGTTATCTGCACTGAAGGCTACATTTGGATTTTGTTTGTGATGGTCACAAATCTGGTGAAATGTCAGACTGGCATACTCCCCTCCAGTGCTCCCTCTAAGCTGTGGGGTCTTGTGAGCAAAAGTTCTACTTTGTGCGCTACTGGCATTAAAGTTGTGAGTGAGCAATTTGACTACTGTATAAATTAGCTTGAAGCCATTCTTCCTGAGCTAAGACAAAAATGTGTGAGCCGGAGGCTAAAAAACTGTGAGCTAGCTCACACTAACTCAGTTTACAGGGAACACGGCTTCCCTCCCCTAGTGTACTATTTCAAACTGGTATCCTTCAACTAATTCCAGTCAATTAATCAGTATTCTTAACCAGGATTATACTCTGGTTAGGAATCCCAGTTAAGGAAATAAATTACATTTCAGTTTATTAAGGTACCACATTCAGACACTGCAACTCCATGGTTTTGGCAGAAGCCTTTGTCTTCAATTTTATTGAGCCATATGAGGGGAGGAAGGAGAGAATACATAAGCCTCACATTTAACCCGGTTCATATCTGTTGCAATCGGTGCCCCCCCCCAAATGTTTGAACAATGCAAAAAAGAGCTTTTGTGCTTCTGTTAGATAAGCAGCAAGGTACTCCTCTCAAACCTCTCCCGACCAAGAAGCTGCTACAGGCTCAGTTGTCCCCTTACCCAGGCACTTACCATCTTAAGCACAGAACAACCATACTTATGGGAACTGCAGAGTAACATATCACATACGGGCAAAGAGGCATATAGGAGAAGAAAGATAATTATGAATTAAGCACAACAGAGCATTCAACCCTTCTAAATAAATGCATACTGTGCTCGCCAAGTTTGACTCCTGCTTAAAACATCTTTCAAGGGGCTCAGCTGAGATAAAAGTATGACGGGTTCCCATTGGCAAGTGCTTTGGCTGTAGTTAGACCCTACTAACGTATAAGAACAGAAACAGTGGGGCCTATTGTTTAGCTTCCTGTTTCAGTATACAGGGGCAAATTGCAAAACAGATTAGCATCTGCAATACACTTTTAAAAATGCATTAGAACAGAAACTTACTTTTTCTTCAATCCATGATTCAATTGAAGTTTTGTTCCTTAAAATAACTTTCATCTATGAGAGAGACAGAGAAAGATTAGTTCTTAACATGCTACTTAAAAAGGTACACTGGCTTGGGTCCTAATCTCACTTTCGGTATGCTGTATGCATTTCCACTTGTGGAAGAGGGAATGTTCACTGAATCCCTACTTCATGATGCAGCCCCTCCGTTTCAGCCCCTAAGTTTCTAGGTATCCACTGACTGGGGTGTGTGCGTGTCACACTTTCAGGGGCACAGAAGACTTCAGTGGCAGGAGAAAAACTTGCCATTAATGCAGTACAGCCCCATTATCACTACTTAGGACCAGTGTTCCCTCTAAACTGAGTGAGTGTGAGCTAGCTCAGTTTTTTAGCCCGCAGCTCACACATTTGGGTCTTAGCTCAGGAAGGACGGCTCCAGAGCAAACTAATTTATGCAGAAGCCAAATCGCTCGCTCACAACTTTAATGCCAGTAGCTCACAAAGTAAAATTTTTGCTTACACGACTCCACAGCTTAGAGGGAGCACTGCTTAGGACCCACAGCCATAGTCAGCAAACACAAAACAATTTAACACAATCTGCACTGATATTCTTTAAACATGTCATTTACACAAAAGCCAGCATATAGGGAACACGTCTTTTTGAAAGCTTTTCAGCCAGTTAAATTACTTTGAATTGTTTGCTGATGGGGGGGTGGGGCGGGGAATAAGACTTACAGAACAACAAATTATTCACAGTACAATGAATCAAAAAGAATTACTTAGTTTTTCTTACATCACAGACAGTACTCTAGAACAGGGGTGTCGAACTCATTTGTTATGAGGGCCTGATCTGACATAAATGAGCCGAGCCATGTGTGTCATAAAATGTAATGCCAGGTACCAGAGACATAAACTTTATAAAGGACACAAACACAACATTTTTTTAAACTTAAAATAGAATCATGCTTAAAACATTAGCACTCTTGCAATATTTTGTTTATTTAACAGTGTCTAATAACTAACACCTCTTGCTCTGAATTATTGCATCAAAATGTCTGTGCTGTTGCCATCTTGAGTATGCTGTTTGGGTGTGTATCGGTAAGCTGCAAACCTACGATGCAGCAGCAGCAGCAGCAGCAGAACTGGAAGAAGCAGCAAAAGACAGCCAGTTCCACTGTGAACATGATAGAAGCACTCTGGGGGCTGCAAGTTTGACACCCCTGCTCTAGAAGTACCAACATGTGCCATTTTGTTTTTTAAAAAGTGAGACTCACTTGGATTGCAAACAACATTCCAACTGCTATAGTTGTCCCCAAAGCCAGTCCCAAGGCAAATAAAGATGCAGCAAATGCAGATAATCCAAAAGGTATAATTGGGCGGGGGTCTCTTTTGGCTACACTCATATCGATCTTTACAGAACTCCAGCCAAAGGATACCTACGGAAAGGAAACAAAGATACAGAAATTCAGAAAAACAGCCAGTTATAAAAGCAAATAATCAAACAAAAACTCTCTGTTAGCATGACTGTACCTTGGCACATCTTCAAAGGTGATTATAAGATCTTATTACAACACATGCCAAAGCAAGCTAAAATTTGCAGAAGTTATATTTTGCCTGAAGGAGATCTTTGATTGATTAAAAACATGCTTTCTCTATGTTTTAATCACAGTCTAAGTTTGAGTGCATGATTCATACCACACTGGCAGGTAGGTTCTGGAGACCTACCAAGCGAAGAGAGAACTGTGCTTGCAAACCAGTCGACAAAAATGCATTAATTACAAATTCTATGCCTCCTTCTAATGCATTTGTTTATTGTTCCTTTCTAGTTACAGTTTTATTTATTCATTGCTGCAAAGTATTTCAATTTTAGGAAATTTTTGTGAGATTTTGTGCAGGCAATAAGAAATGCCTAATTTCAGGTCAGAACACATATGACACTGCCTTATACTGAGTCAGACCATTGGTCTATCAAGGTCAGTTTATCTACTTTGACTGGCAGCAGCTCTCCAGGATCTCAGATCGAGGTCTTTCTTGTCATTTGCCACCTCATAGTTTTAATAAGAGGTGTTGGGGATTGAATTTGGGCCCTTCTCCATGCTTAGCAGATGCTCTACTACTGAGAGGCCACTCAGGTGCAGGAAGGAATAAAGTGGGATAAAACAAAAGGTACTACCTATACTAGGGTTGCCAACCCCACCGGTTTGGCAGGGGTCCCCCGCTTTTGGGGGGGATTCTACCCGCCGCCGGCCAAATGGCTGCCGGGGAAGCCCCGCCCCCAAGCCCCAACACCCACAGCCACCCCATGGAGATCGGGCTCATGGGAAATGCCAGCTTCCTGCACTTAAAGGGGCTCCTTTACATGCAAGGAGCTGGCATTTCCCTGCACGCAAATCTCCGCTCGAGATCAGGTGCGCGGAGAAATGCCAGCTCCCTGCACTTAAAGGGAGCCCCTTTAAGTGCAGGGAGCTGGCATTTCCCAGCGCACCTGATCTTGCTCCTTGCACTTAAAGGGGCCCCTTTAAGTGCAGGGAGCCGGCATTTGGGCACGTGGGGAAACGTGCGGGGAAACGCCAGCTCCCTGCACTTAAAGGGGCTCCTTTAAGTGCAGAGAGCTGGCATTTCCCCATGCAGGATCTCTGAGGAGATTGGGCGCGCAGGCGAGGAGGGGGCGCGCGGACGGACATCCCCAACGTGATGTCATCACGTCGGGGATGCCCTGCCCCCTCTGAGAATCCCCCCCCAAGTCCCCCACTGGGGGCGAAGATGGACTTGGCAACCCTAACCTATACAGTCTCCAAATCCGAAAACTGCAATTTGATCATACAAATGTAATCTGTTTACAATCGTCACAGTTGAAAAACAGAAGGTATGGATCACTTTCCTTTTCAGAGGCTAGTTAACTCTCTTTGTTGACATTTAAGGTATCCAAGAGCATTTTCTTACCCTGTTATAAAGCTGAGTGTACATGGTCATGATAAAAATGAAAGCAGCATGGATACATCCTAGGGGGGCCAGGAGAAGAAAGAGAGTAAAGGAGGCATGATTCTGAAACCCACAGCAGTTGTTAATCCAAGGACAGTGATGGTCCATCTTCATCACACACCTAGAAAACAATTCAAATCAGTGCTCTTGTTTAGTGTTCTAAATTTGTATTTAAGGTGGGTACAAATGTAATGTGGGAGTTTGGAATGGGGATTTATTTCTAAGGTCTAAAGGATACATAAAGCATCAAAATGTTTCCAAGGTGCTGTTTACTTAAATAGATGTTAATAGTGTTGAACAATTATTATTATAATATACATACAGATCTCTATATTGGGGGGGGGGGTTAGTAGTGGTACCTGTTACACTTTCGGCAGTGATGTGAGCGTGGAGCCTTGTAAGACTGGCATACTTTACAGTACTGAAGATACATGCAGTCCTGAGAGTTTTCCTCAAAATGTAAAAAAAAAGGCAGATGCGGAGCAAGTGTTAAAATTTGCAGACTACATCTCAACCCCTATAGTTTTGTTCTATCTGGGTATGGTTGGCACATCCTTTCTAATTAGAGAGAACATATATGAGAAACAATCCTCACCCTTCATTCATCTGGCATTTACCTTATATAAAAAACACTTTTATGCACATTCACACTATCTGCATAACATAGAATTGGCATCCCCCCCCTCCCATTTATAACTTCCCACCCATCCTGGTAACATTCTGGTTGCTTCCACACAGAGGTTATGCTCCACTTCTGGGTTTTCCCCTGCTTTGATGTAATCTTTCCCAAATCTAGTTTGGTGTTTAGAAATTTTGCAATTAAAGCACCTTTGTACATGTGGGGGCTGAAGGTTTGCATTTTTAAAGGTCCTACCCAAACTGGCACTATTTCCCCCATACATCACCAGGTGGCTTTATTATTGTTTTTAATCAGCAATTGCTGGATCACTACAGAGCAATAATTTTATAGTGATCTAGTGCTAGCTCCTCTGAATTTCCAGCTTTCATTTAAAAAGTCTAAAGGCTAGAGACCTAAAAAAAAAATGAAAGCTGGGAATTCAGAGGAGCTAGTAGATCACAGCAACCGATCACTAACACTTCATTACACTGTAATGATCCAGCAACTGCTGAATTTTTTTAAAGCCCTGCCCACTGGCACAGGGAGAAATGGCAGTTGCAGAAGGCCTAGGAAAGAACAGTGCAGGGAAAACTGCCATCTGGACACCCCATTGCCACTGCAAATGCCTCTGCATTCACAGTGGCAACAAGAGCTGTATGGAAGCAGCTTTACTTCCAAGTAAATATGCATATGATTAGGCTTGAATCCCCACTTTGTTCAAAAAGACATATTTCCAAGTTGATATGCATAATACTGCTGCCTTAGTCTCCATTTTCCTATGTAGCTGACCAGATTTTGTTGACCAGACTCTGTGTGGTGCTGCGTTTGTCATTCATACAATTCATACAATTAGCAAACACTGGTCAGGACAGGAACTTAAGTTATGGATAAGATTCTAATTTCACTCTGGAATAACGGGGTACAAATCTGGCTACCAACCAGATGGCTCCCCTCTTGACCTGATTCAACACATCAAATAAATGGGCCCAAAAATTCCATTCTATGCTAGAATCAGGTTAGGAAATATCATTAACATTAATCTTTTTTTCTTTTTTATTCCAATTTTATCATTCGCTTACTGGCTTCCATCCTATAGGAACATATCCAGGGCCAACAAACATGGCATTGAAGTAGTTGTAAAGAATCATAACAGTCCAATTGATAAGCATGATGAAATTGATACTTCCTCCTGTTGTGTCCAAAGGCCAGTACCACAGAACAGCATCGATCATAGCCATGGCAGAACATATTGCTATCACACTGAGAGCTATGATAGGGCCCCAGTGGCACAGCCTCTTCAGTTCATGGAGATTTTCAAACTTTATAACTGAGCAAAGCATTCCCATTTTGCAGCCAAGTGCTCTTCTATTTTAAATAGTTCCTTTCAGGTACAGGTCTCCATTTGACGTAAGTTTTCATCTCTATAGCATTGGTTACATGTCCAAATAACACAAGCAGAGGAGATTAAGCCATTTCTGGAGTTTGGAAGAATCATTAGGTAGCAAAACTCTTTTTGTGAGACTGCGGGAAAAACTGTCTCTACAAGCCACCTAAAAAAAAACAAAGGAAGAAGAAAAGCCTTCAGAATAATTAAGAAGTAATACTCTTTAGAATAAAAGGAACTTAAAAAAACACACCATCAGACTGCTGCTTACACAAATTTTGAGAGACCTGCTCCCTGCAACTAAGAATGCAAACAGATGTAATTTAAGGAGAGCTATACAATACACACATAACTATTTCATTTTGAGATGCATTGCAGGTCAGGTATCCTCTAGAATTCTTTCTTACTCATATATTGGCAATGGAAAAGACGTACTTGTAATCATTTCCAGAAAAATGTGGATTTGATTTTTCCCCTGGAATTTTTCCAATTCAAATTTAAAGAAATAATTTAAACATTTAAATAATTTTAAACAAAATTTAACATTAGCAAAAGAAGGCAACTGCACCCTGTATAAGCCTGGACCATGTATGAGCTCTAGAGTTTGTCCATACTTCATATATCCCAAATTTAGCCTACCTACAATGTCTGATTTGCAAAAACATGTGCTGATCAGAAGCACAACAGCCCTAAAAACTGTAGATAAACAAATACTGTATCTACCTATATGAGGTGGATAATATTCCATAGAAAAAGACACCACTGGAAATTTTTCCATGGAAAATTACACATCATTAATGTAATGTGGAAAAGTACTACTGGACTTATTATTTAGATCATAGGTCTTTAACTTTTCCTGAAACAGGACCCATATTATCCACTGGCAGCATAATGAGACCCACTTAGCTGAAAGCATGTGACAGTCACATGACTAGACAAGGGAAGCCAGAGTTATGACCTCACCCGTGTCAAGGCTGCAACAGTGGTAAGGAAACACAAGTCAAGCACTTAGGAGCAGTACTCAAGGGAGAAGCAAGCAAAAGGTCACAATCATGGGGGGATCCTCTCCACTGCTGAGCGTCCTTGCCTCACTGTCCTACTGCTCCACTAATCTTCCATGCAAAGAGAAGCTGCAGTTTTGGTGCACGAGTGTATACTTGTACACTAGCAGTAGGTTCTTCCAAAAATCTGCAGTAAAATATGGCAGCTCTACAGATGCTTGTGACGTGGTAAATGGGTACCGCAACGCACCTGAATGTCCTGACACATGGGGTGAAAACCAGTAGTTTAGATAAAGATAGAAAACCTATGAGTGGACAGAAGGGACTAAACTACGTGGCTGAAAGAGAAATAATTATTTCTTTGAGCAGTGGAATTTATGTGGACACTAATTATGTCTGCCTAGCATCATGGAGCTGTGGTGGCTCAAGTGATTAAGACGCTGAACTGCAGGCTGTGGAAGGTCAGTAGTTCAGCAGTTCGAGACCCGGGTGCCGTATGATGGAGTGAGCTCCCAGCTCCTGCCAACCTAGCAGTTCGAAAGCAAGAAATTGCAAGTAGATAAATAGGGACCACTTTGGTGGGAAAATAACAGCGTTTTGTGCGCCTTGGTGTTTAGTCATGACCACGGAAACGTCTTTGCACAGCGCTAGCTCTTCGGCTTTGAAACGGAGATGAGCACCGCAACCCTAGAGTCGGATTCGACTGGCTTTCGAGCAAGGGAACCTTTACTAGCATCATTTATTCATCACAAACCCTACAAGTGTAAGTCCTTTTTGTTGCTATGCTCTTAAATGTCCTGGCCAGGAACCAATTAGGAATCCCCAACCTTTTTGAGCCTGCAGGCAAGTTTGGAATTCTGATGTAGTGTAATGAGCACAGCGACAGAACGGGTGCCATAAAAGGGCTGCTGAAGGAGGCAGAGTCAGCCACAAAACCTTCAGTTACACAGCACCAGGAAAGGTATTGGCGGGCACAACTCCCACAGGCGCCATGTTGGGGACCCCGATCTGCTATGGCTGTGGATTTCTTCACAGTACAGATTTGGAAACCCAGGAGTTTCAAGAGCAGTTTGTGATGTAGTAGCGGAGTCAGTTTGTAAGAGAGAAAAGGAAAAATCATACACACAAACCTAAGCTGCTCTTAGAATCCCAGCCACCATGGACAGCAATAAAAATTATTTAACTTACTCTTCAAATACGAAGTCTTCCTACTGTACTGGACCTTGGTATATACAGGTGTGTGATCCCTGGTACCCCTCTGGCCTCCTCTGTCACATAGCTAATTTCCCCAACAACAAGGCAGGCTGTTGGCAGTATTAAAAAGTGGAATTCCTTGATTGCTACCTTGAGGACTAATGATCCCAAAGAATATTGGTCATTGGTAACATCAGCCTTCAGTGTAATAATAATAATAATAATAATAATAATAATAATAATACCCTTCTATATTCGTGCCAGTGAATGAGCACTCAACTTTTCCAAACTTTATTTTTCACCTGTGCCTCTATTAACTTGGAAGAAAGTCTCAGGCAATTACTCCCTTGGCTTAAGATCTTGCCTGAGGAAATTAAAAAACCTTCTTGGCAAAATGAAAACTGGGAAAGCTCCTGGCCCAGATATAATTTCCATTGAATTGTACCAGTAGAACATATCAGTATAACATAAACTGGTGGGGCTCTATTCTGGCTCCAATTTTTTTTTAGTAATAAATGTAACTGGTATAAGCTCAAGCATGTGGAAACAAGCGATTATAGTACCTATCTATAAAAAAGATGATAGGATGAATCCACCTAATTACCATCCAATTAGTCTCTTATCTCCATTAGGAAAACTCTATGCCTCTTTGTTATTACAGAGATTATTGTTCTGGGTGATTTCTGAAAAGATTCTATGTCCTGAAAAAGCAGGCTTTGCTACTGGAAGGTCTAAAATAGATCATTGCTTGGTTTTATATCATTTAGCCAGGAAATATATTTCAGCTCCAAGAAGCATATTATATGCTGCTTTGGATCTCCGGGCAGTTTTTGATTCAGTCCCAAGGGACCATTCGTGGGGCAAATTAGGGAAATCTTAAATCAACCAGATTGCTATGATTAATCAAGAAGTTATTTATTTATTTTTCACATTTATATCCCGCCCTCCCCAGTGGGCTCAGGGTGGCTAACAAGGGCTGCTAACAATGGTGCTCAGTCAATTACTAATCTCATATGATTCTTCTTCAGCTCGTGTTTGCTATAGTTTGGAAGGTCACTTGTCCAATTCAAATCTTTTACAGAAGGATGTTCTGCAAGGATGCCTGTTAGCTCCATTATTAATTTGTATGTAAATGATATGGCATCCTGTATGATGCAGGCTTTGGGTTCTCTGTCAGGATACTCAGCTTCAGGCTCTACAGTCCAGTTCAGTAAATCAGGCAAAAGTACTTTTATTATCAAAGAAAAGGCAAGGCAACCTTGATTAACAATAATTAGATGAACAAAGGAAAACTCAATGTCCTTCATTGGTTGCCAAAATACAAATAGTCATTAAAATCAGCTGAAACTTACTCAAACTCCAAAAGGTAGGAAAAAATCTGCCCCAAAGATGCGCCCTTCCTTCCCCCCCACCTTTTGGCTTTTAACCTCCGAACAACCTGTTAAGAGGCTATCCCTCCCTCTATCCAATCCAGCTGTTAAGATATCTCAGATGTGCAGCTCTTGAGAAGCTAAGAACTGGGCAGTTTCTGCAATGATTTGCAAGGTCGATCCTCCCCCTCCTGATTTCACTCAGTTCTTCAATGTTGCTGTTTTACACACAGGCCAGTCTCTTCCTTACACATCCCTTTTGAGAACCCCCAAATTCCATTCTTCTATGTTGGCTAACACCTCATTATCAATAATATTATATGCTGATGATGCACTTATGTTAGCTAGATCTCCTTTGGGCCTCTGATGATCATTGAAGGTCTTTTCAGAATATTGCAGTCCAGGAGGGTTGACAGTCAATGAAAGGAAATCAAGGTGTTTTCTAATATTAATCACCTGAAGAAGTACAACTGGCAAATTAATGGGAAACCCATAGAGCAAATTAACCAGTTCTGTTATTAAGGAATTCACTTCCAAGCTAATTTGGCCTGGAGGGCCCATTTTAAGAATGCTCATAATAGGACCTTAGTTGCAACAAAGGCTGTAATACTTTTTCCCCCCAGCAAAGGTGGCCAGTTTGCTCCTGCTGCTATTTCAGTTTTTTATGCAAAAGTAGGTGGTCAACTTCTTTATGGACCTCTGGTATGAATCGAGAGAGATGCTAGATTCCTTTTGTCACTATTTTTGCAGAAGATCACAGGGATGCCAAGTTGTGTGCCTAATGTCTCTTTAAGGGCAGAACTGGGCTTATAATCTCTGGAAGCACGTGTATGGGTAAGGGTTTTCAGGCATTGGCTGAAAATGCTATTTGCCACAGAAGCTAAAAGGTGCCTCTGTCTATTAAAGTCGGACTCCTATCCTACCCCTTGGAGGAAATTAATGGAGACTAGACCCCAACTGCTGGGTTTCAGTAGTAGTGATTTGGAGATATTGGAAAAATAAGCAGCACCTTCGGTGTTGAACAAATGTCTGTATAACTTGGTCTTCATCAGCACCACGAATAGAACCTGTAGAGTATGCTCTGCTTTATATTTAGGATTGTCTTATTCAAAGGCATCTTTACCATATTTAGATTTTGTAACTGTTCCTTGATACAGGAGAACATTTATGCTTGCAAGATTAAACCCCATCCAAAGGATAGTCAAACAGACTTTGAGACTGTGCTTCAGGACAAATAGAAACTCTGGAGCATTGCTTACTGGAATGTGGTGCCTTTTGCAGTATTAGGGATCTGTGGATTATTCATCTTTTCTGCAATAATGGGGGGGCTGAACAACAGACAAGGTTAAGAAACTTCTGGCGCTTGTGGATATAGGACTTATATTGCCGTAGACTTTTTATTTTTGTTCATATAATTAAATTCAAAGGACCTCAAGTGTAGTAACTGGGTTGGTTATTTAAATTATCTATTTTTGTTGTATCTACTGTGACATTGCTCAAGGCCTGTACGCTAAATGAGCAGTATAATTAAAGTAAGGTATTCAGAGGTTTACTTACCCCATATTCTACTTAATTCCAGTAATTGGTAAGGATTATCTACTCCCCTTTGATCATTTCACATGACAATGAAGGCCAAGTTAGACTTCTGCAAAGCCTCAGACACTTCTAGAATGTGCTATAGTTCCTTTCACTTGGCAGTAACATAAATTAAGTGAGGAAGTTAGCTGACTTCAGCTGCATGGTGTTGTCTGTGGGCAGCCGAAAGTATTACAGAGCAGCCCAAGAATCATGCAGTCAAAGGAAACATTTAACTTGCCTTGTCTCAGTTTATAGGCCCTGAACTGTTAGAGTGAGACACACTGCTATATGTAAGTCAATCAGTAGAAGAGAAACTGTGAGGGTTGCAATAAAAAAGCATTACACTTTGAGCAACTAAAAGGCTGTTTACAGAAATATCTAGTTGCCTATGCTAGATAAACTGGAAGAACAATGCCAATCAGCGGCATATGAGTAAGGAAAGGAACTTGGCCAAGAGATTCATGCATTTGCTACTATCTCAGTGGTCTTTAGGGCACAGTTACAGGAGAAGTGAACAAGAGCAAGACGTGGTAGCAACAGAAATAATGACAGCAAAGCCTCCAAACAAACTGGTTAGTCCCCTTTTGGGGTTGTCTATTCTTCCTGACGTGGCAAAACTACATTATCTCCTTTTTTAGTACAAAACAAAACTGCTCCAGGAGACAATATACGACCCCTCCCATAAACTCTTCGAGGGGGAGGAACAGGTTTCCTCGCCCCTCCGAACTAGACTTACATCCTACAGCCAGTGTTCCCTCTAAGCTGAGTCCGTGTGAGCTAGCTCACAGTTTTTTGGCCTCCGGGTCACACATTTTTGGTTTAGCTCAGGAGAGATGGCTCCACAGCAAACTGATTTATGCAGTAGCCAAATCGCTGGCTCACAACTTTAATGCCAGGAGCTCACAAATTAGAATTCTTGCTCTCAAGACTCCACAGCTTAGAGGGAACATTGCCTACAGCAGCTCTGTGTTTTTAACTGGCGATCAACAGGCGACAATTCAGCAGGTGAAGCGGGCACCATGTTGGATTACCACCCCGCTAGCAACAATTAAATACACTGACTGAAGTCTTTTTAAAAAGGCGGTAACAGCAGCAGACTAACGCATTGCCCTGCGGCTGGCGCGAGCTCAGGCGGCTGACGATCAGGCTGCTGCCGCCGCTCCCTTCCTCTCCTAGTCCCCCCCTCCCGCCGAGGAGGGCTCCCGTATTCTCTTGCACGCAATGGAAAAGGCTGGCGCTTCCACTGCCTCCCTCCCCGCTCTCAGGGCAGAACGAGGCGCCTTACCAGTGCGGAGCAAAGGACCGATTGCTTGGGGAGAGCCTCTTGAGTCAGCACCGGCCATGCTCTCGGTCCGCTCGCCTCTGAGTTCACTTCCCCGGGGCACCTTGACTGCAACCCGGACATGCAACCCTCCAGTTCCGCCCTGACTTCGGCGTGTCTTCAGTAGTCTGCCAGGTTCTTTGAGAAAATACTTCCGTCCTCTACATAGAAGCATTTCTATGGCAATAGGCATTAGTGGGACAATCCTGCGATGAGGAAAAAAGTGTGCTTGCCCAGGCTCGAAGGCAAAGTCCCACTCAACGCTTGCTATCTGGAAGGGCAGTCCCGTGGAGCCAAGGCATATCTTCGGCCCAGTGACATCCCCCCCCCCCAACTTCCAAGAGGCTGAAGCCTGAAAAACTGCAAGGGTAGCTTCTCACAGTAGTAACAGTGTTTTAATACGTCCCAAAAACAGACTCGTGGTTTCTCAAAGAAGTGACATTTATTACACCAATAGTTTTGGTGGCCTAGAGCCACTTCAATGGATACGTGAAGAGACGAGGGATTTGCTTTAATTAAATGTTTCTCGCCTACCAAAGCTTATGCTATACATTATGTGCCAGTCTTTATGGAACCACGAGACCCCTTTTATTTCACATGAAACAGACGAATGTAGCTGGAATATGTTAATAAGGGATAACAGACAAAACAGGGTGACTTATTAGGGACAGACAAGAAGAAAGGGGTTTTCCTGGTAAGAGTGTATACGTCCAAAGACTATTGGATGAAGTGGGTGAATGGCATCCCGGAACTGTAGTGACTGGTTGGAAGTTCTACTGTGGGAATATTTTTGATGGGGCACAACCCGGAAGTCTCTGCCTTCTGACAGAAGATCGGCTCTAGCGGCTTCTGTGTGGAGTTTGGCTTCGGTTTCTAGGGAAGACGCGGACCGCCAACTTCCATTCCTGAGTTCGTTGCTGTTGGGTTTCTGGTGGTGTTGGGACCTGGTAACCTAGCCATAATGTCCTCCGACTTCGAGGGCTACGAGCAGGACTTCGCGGTGCTCACTGCTGAGATCACGAACCGCATCGGGAAGGTGCCCAAGTTGCTGGGGGGTAAGTAGGGGGAAATGGGTGGAAGAGAGGCAGAGAGGGAAAAGTGACTCGCAGCTCCTTAGTCTGCTTTCAGTGTTCCTTTAATAGTGTCTCTTTTCTTTCCGGTGCCCCCTGCCCTCTTCAGTCAGGAAGTTCCTTTCCAGGCTTAGATGAAAGATAGTGAACACAACCCAGGAGCCAGACATAAAACGAGGGTGGGCAATAAAGTTAAGTTGTCGTTTGTGGAAACGGCACGTGAGTACAAGACTCTTAAGAAAGGCTCACCTGACTATGTACTAAATCTGTCCTTTCAACTGTTCCAATATTTGGACTGTTTAATCTCATATTTTCTATCTGTGTTATTTCTGTTACACACTACATTTTTATACTGCCTTTCCCCCAGCGAGCTCAGAGTGGCGTACATGGTTCTTCTGTGCCCCATATTATCCTTGTAACAATCCTGTGATGTAGGTTAGACTGAGAGAAAGTGATTGGTCTAGATGACCCAGTGTAAGAATTGGAACTCAAGTCTTCTCAGACCTAGTCAACCAATACAGAACTTGTCTCTTTTTCATCAGCTCCAACTTAGACCAAAATATTTCAGCTCCTGCTGTATGCATTCATATGCTAAAAATTAACTGTGTGCCCCCAGAAGCTCTAATGATGTTTTAAACTTCCTTGTTATCTTAGTTCATTACCTTCCTTTGTTCTGCAGCCACACTACCCCAACCTTCCTGGTTCTTAAACAAAACTGGACCAGATATCTGAAAGATAGGAGTTAGTAGCTAGCAGTACCTGCATTGTTGGCAGTTCTTACTGGTGTGATGTAGTGGTTAAAGTGCTTAACTAATACACAGCACTTTGGCATTTCATATAACACATATAGACCAATATTTGGAAAGAAGTCTAAGTTGAGTGAAGCTTTCTTTCAATTAAGAGCGCAAAGCATAGCAAACTAAGGCCTTGTTAGGGTCCTCCTTAATAGAAAAATGTGGCTGAGCTGAATAGAATACCTGCCAACTAAGTGGCCTTGCATTCGTAGAAGGATGCCAGTTTCCAGTTTGTTCTAGTACAACTTGGGTAGCCTGACTACACCAATCTAGTGTTAGATGGGTAAGCATGTCTGTATAAGTCCTGGGAAATGGGAGTGATCTGATGAGAGGGCTTCTTATTCATTGTTCAAGACTGAATCCTGTCTTGCAAGTATACAACGGTTTTGCTCCAAAAGCATGAATATTAACTCAAAATGTAGGTCTAATAGCAGTCTACAGGCCAAGTAGGCAAACCCCTACACACCACATGACAGCATGTACTCACATAAATGGATTAAGCTACATGCTACTACTAAAGAATCCATTGACCTGTAAAGGAATCAAATTAGATCAGTAAGCAAATCCCTCATATTTCATATGTATTCTCATTCTTCTATTTTTAGATGAGAAGAAGCAAATGGTTTCAAATGTGGAAAAGCAACTGGAAGAAGCAAGAGAACTTGTAAGTTATGAAGTTTTGCATTTGTTGTATGGACAATCTTACAAGACATCATGCCATTGCCTGTTTTATTGTTTTTTATTGTTTTATGAACTGCATGTTGTAAGCTGCCCTGAGCCCACTTGTGGGATAGGGTGGGGTATAAATTGAATGAATGAATGAATGAATGAATGAATGAATGAAATGTACTACCTTACTAGTTAGGAGTAGGCTGTGGTGTGTGTGTGTGTGTGTGTGTGTGTGTTACTAACAGCTGAGGTGAAGTTCACTTTTTATTACTGTGGGGAGTAATTGATGGGAGTGGGACAGCAACAAAGGGGAGAGGTAATAGAAATAAACTGCTGAGGGTAGTGAGAGGAGGTAAAATGCCCCCCAGAGAGAGATTATGGCAGAAAAAGTTGTTGGGAATAATTTTTTGGCAATCCAGTTGCCAATTTTTGGCAATCTTTCTGATAAGAGAAAAGATTAGAATACCACTTGTTTCTTCTTTTGACAGGTTTATTTGTTGTAATGTTTTGAGTTGAACAGTGAACAAGCCACTGAGCCATAATCTTTGCCCAGTATGTAACGTATCCAAAATACCCGCTTTTTGCAGAACTCTGTATAGGGTCCAGCTAAAATAAATATGCACATTTCAAGTCACTCTGAGGAAACGTCTGTATTTTTACTAACTTAAAAGAGCTACATCTATACCTTAAGCAATGTAAAAAGTATTTTATGCTTTTTAGACTGAGTTTTGTTTTTAATTTTTACAGGACCTTTTTGGGAAGAACATAGAAATAGAATTGGGTTTTGTGTTTGTGATTAATTATAGTGCAGTTCTGAAAAAGAGAATGTAAATATTTACGTGTATTTGTTTGGGTTTGTTTATATAAACATATGAATGAAATGTGGCTTGTTTTGTGTCCTTTGTACCAGAGAAAGATATCCTTACTTTCTTCCCTTTCAGGCCTTTATAGATGTAGATGAGAAGTTGGTACAGATTTATTATAGAGAGATCATTACCATTTTTGTTGTGGTTAAATCTTGGTATTTAGGATCTACCTAACTAGCATAGTTGGGGTTTCCTGAAAAAAATAATCCCCTGTTTAGTTAACAAATTGCTCTGAAGGTTGTTTGGGATGGATGGCCACCACATGGAGACTGCAGTACATAGCATCCATTTGGCTGCATAATATATAGTGTTTATCATACAAACAATTGTCACAACAGTAACATGCGTTCTTGTTCAAGATCCATGCTATCAGGGAGCCCTGTTCATTATCTGTACTGTATAGAGAAGCAGATGCTGCTTGCAACAGTTTCTGTGCAAGGGTTGCAAAGTATGGTCTTGTTTCCAAAAGGATTCATTGCTTACAGGGTCCTCTGGTCAGCATACCATCTTTCCAGTTTGTTGTATTGGTTAGGAGCATGGATGCTAATCTGGGAGAACCGGGTTTGATTCCCTACTCCTTCACATGCAGCTGCTGGTGTGACCTTGGTTCAGTCATAGGTTCTTTCAGAGCTGTTCTCTCAAGAGCAGTTCTTGAAAGAGATCTCTCAGCCCCACCTACTTTATTGGGTGTCTGTTGTGGGAAGAGGAAGGGAAAGGAGATTGTAAACTGCTCTGAGACTCCTTTGGGTAGGGAGGGGCGGCGTATAAATCCAATCCTGCCTTCCTTTTCCTCCCTGTTTGTGGCATGCTATTGTCTCACTGATAATCTGTAAAAGATTTACTTGTGGAATAGATTTTGGTTAATATATGGAAGGCTTTTCCTAAGGAAGGAGGGCTGTGCAAAGTGCTGCCAGATCTGTTCTAGCCTCATGAATCTAAGGGAGTGGGATTCTTCCCCTCCCTCCAGTTGAATGAATGTCTGTATTTTCTTTGATCCCCTGTGAGCATTATGTTTTTGTCTAGTTCTAAACTGGCATTAATTGACATTGTTCTTCTGGGTAACTCTTTATACTACTGTTTAAGCTGCTAGTTCAGTTATAATTTGCTTTCTGATAATGAGACAGTAGTTCTAGGAGCTATGTTATATAGTGGCTACATTTACTATTGAAGCTATAGAACACCAGGAAAAGTTGCTAAACAAAAATATTTAACCTTTTACCAATTTTAAGTTTAAAATTTTAGAATCGGTATTGGAATTTGTATACCCAGGTTTTAGTTCGTGTCTGTTTTGAATCGTATATTTTGTTATTTGGCTACATTTGGTTATATTTGGTTGTATCACATTTTTTTTATAATATGTTGCTATTTGACGGGTTTCTGACTGTAATAAACCGATTGATTGACTATGTTATATAGCAGGCGTGTTGTGGCTTAATGTAATTAAGATGAAAGCTATTTCAAGTGGACTGATTGCTTCCTTATCTCCCTGAAGACTGATATATGCTCAATTATAATGGAAAAATAAGCTGATAAAGCTGCTTTTCTGTACAGATATTTTAGTTTATTCTGAGCACAAATGTTTAATACTAGGACTAAAGTATAGGTGAGAAATCTATGGAAAAATTACTTGTGGACTACCAAGGAAGTTACCTTGGCTAGCTTTTTGGCCCTTTGATGTAATGTGGGCAAGCTCCTTTGCTCTGTTCTTTTGATAGAGTGTTTGTTAAAATTATTTGCCCACACTTCGTACTGGAACACACTAAAGTTAATATACTGTAACCAAGAGTATTTATAATTAAGTGTTGGAAATAAAGATCACTACAGGCAATATAGTTGCAGTAACAAACCATATATAAAACTTAAAGGTCGAGTCCAAAGAACCAACATGAACCTTACCAGTAATCTGTACTTGGGGATTATATTTAAATCTTCCATTTCCTTCTCAGCCTCCTCTAAAAAGGTATTTTATTGAAGTCCTGTAATCATTCAAGAGATTATTCCTTAAAGGGCTTTATAGTTACTTATTTTAAAAGAATTATGAAGCCAGAATGCCAGCAGGGGGTTGGGGGCTATCCAGTGTTTTGCACGGAGTGTCACATGTATGACTATCTGCCCACTGGACAGAAGTCTTGGGTGTGTCCTCGGTGCAAGGAGCTCCTGGTTCTCAGGGAACGTGTGTGCTCCCTTGAGGCCAAGGTGGCTGACCTGGAGAAGCAGAGACAGTCAGCTAGGCACACAGAAAAGACTCTCGGGGACTTGTTAGCTACGTCCCACTCTGGATCTGGCAGCCCCGCTGCTGTCAGGGAGCATGAGGGTCTAGGGGAAACAGGGCACCATGCTGAGGATAAGGGGAATGTGCCCTCAGAAGGGACCTCTTCCCCAGCTGGTGAGCGGCTCTCCTTTTGCACCAAGGAACCATCCCTGAGCAGGGTGGGAGGGGGGCTCTTGGTAGTGGGTGATTCGATCCTTAGGCAGGTAGACAGCTGGGTGGCGAACCCGCGTACTGACCGTATGGTGACTTGCCTGCCTGGTGCGAAGGTAGCGGACATTACGCGTGTTTTAGATAGGCTGGTAGATAGTGCTGGGGAGGAGCCAGTGGTCGTGGTGCATGTCGGCACCAACGATGTGGGGAAATGCAGTCGTGAGGTCCTGGAGGAGAAATTTAGGATGCTGGGCAGGAAACTTAGGTCCAGGACCTCCAAGGTAGCCTTCTCAGAAGTGTTACCTGTTCCACGCGCAGGGCCGGAGAGACAGGCAGAGATCAGGAGTCTCAATGCGTGGATGAGACGATGGTGTAGGGGGGAAGGGTTCAGGTTTGTTAGGCACTGGGATACTTTTTGGAACAAGAGGGAGCTGTACAGGCGAGACGGTCTCCACTTGTCCCGAGAAGGAACCAGGCTGCTGGCACTTAAAATCAAAAAGGTGGCAGAGCAGCTTTTAAACTGAATATTGGGGGAAAGCCGACAGGAGATGAAAAGTCTCTGGTTCGGGTTGGCTCATCTGAGAGAGGTGAGGGGGTACCGGTTGCTTTTCTACAGGGAGGTGGATTGAAATTGTCCACAGAGGCCATGGCTGGTGACATGGACTGCCGGACAACGACTCGAGATAGCAAGAGGAAGGATGCAGGCTTAACTTGTAAGGGAAATTACAGCTGTTTCTATACAAATGCTAGAAGTGTCCGAGGTAAAATCGGGGAGTTGGAGTGCTTGGTGTCGGAGGGAAAAATAGACATTGTGGGTATTTCTGAAACTTGGTGGGATGAGGAAAATCAGTGGGACACAGTGATTCCCGGTTATATATTATATCGGAAGGATAGGGGGGGAAGGGTTGGAGGTGGGGTAGCTCTGTATGTCAGAGAGGGTATAAAGTCTAGAAAGATTGAGAGGCTAAGTGAATTGGATTCGCTTCTGGAAGTTCTATGGGTTGAAATAGGGGGGCCAAAAGGAAACTTAACACTGGGAGTTTGTTATCGCCCACCAGATCAAAAGATAGAGGAGGATTATAAAATGATGAATGCCTTAAAGATAGCAACTAGACAAAAACACTGTGTAATAATAGGTGATTTTAACTACCCACACATTGATTGGGTCAATATGTGTTCTAGCCGGGAAAAAGAGATTGAGTTTCTAGACACTCTAAATGACTGTGCTATGGAGCAGATGGTCACGGAACCTACCAGGGGAGAGGCGATCCTTGATTTGGTCCTAAGTAACACTCAAGACCTGGTGAGAGATGTAAAAGTGATTGCACCGCTTGGAAACAGTGATCATAATGTTGTTGAGTTCATCATTTGTACAAATAGAGAATTGGCCAAAAAGACTCACACAACCATTTTTAACTTTAAAAGGGGTAATTTCTCTGATATGAGGGGACACGTGGGGAGGAAACTGAAAGGAAAAGTAGAAAGGGTCAAAACAATTGGGGAAGCTTGGGATCTATTTAAAACTACGATCCTAGAAGCTCAAAAAATATATATTCCGCAGGTTAGGAAAGGCACAAACAGGTATAGGAAAAAGCCTGCATGGTTAACAAACAGAGTAATGGAGGCTGTAAAAAGTAAAAAGAATTCCTTTAAGCAGTGGAAAGCTAGTCACAGTGAGGCTGATAAAACGGAACACAGGCTATGGCA